GACTTTGGTTTTTTGGAATTGGCTTCTTTCACTTAACATGATAGTCTCCAGATCCATCCTTTTATGGGAAAAAGTCATAAAATCGTTCTTTTTATGGCTGAGTAATACAGATTAGACCTTGAACCCAGATTTTATGACATGATATCATATATAGTTTATATATCCCTATTACCATAATAATTTGCATCTTTTATTTACTTTCAGTTTGTTTATATTGAATTTGTTTATTTATTTTTTAATTTTTATAAAATGGACGGAATGCCTTTATTTTATTTGTTTATTTTTATGTGGTATTGAGGATCAAACCCATTGCCTCACTCATGCTAGGCAAGCGCTCTACCACTGAGCCATAGCCACAGCCCGTTTATATTGAATTTATTAATAAATGAAAAGAAAATGCATTAAATTACAGTTACTACTTTATTTTGGAGTTCATATATAAATTTTAAAAAAAGAGTTCTCAAGTACAATTGTTTTCATGACATTTATCATCATTTTAATAATCCTAAAACCCTTAATTTTTCCTCAAATGCATTCGAAGGAATAAAACTGGTAGTTCTAAACTGGTTGTGGTGGTGTACACCTGTAATCCCAGTGGCTTGAGAGGCTGAGGTAGGAGGATTGCAAGTTCAAAACCAGCCTCAGCAGCTTAGGGAAGCCCTTAGCAGTTTAGTGAGACCCTGCCTCAAAATAAAAAACGGGCTGGGGATGTTGCTCTGTGGTTAAGTGCTCCTGGATTCAACCTCTGGTACCAAAACAAAACTGGTAGTTCTAGATATTAAATATAAACTCAAAAAAGTAAACTATGTCCTTTAAAATATGAGATTCTTATCAAGATTGTATTATACTAGCATAAGAACAGACATAGGGATCAACAGAATATAATTGAGAGTCTAGAAATAAACCCCATACATTATGGCCAATTGATTTTAAACAAGGCTATCAAGAGAATTCAATAGGGAAAAGAGTCTTTTTAACAAATGGTGTTGAGAAAGCCAGATAACCACATGCAAAAGAATGAAAATGAACACCCCTATCTCATACCATATAGGAAAACTAACTCAAAATGGATCAAAGATTTAAATGTAAGAAATAAATTGTAAAGTTAATAGGAAAAAATCACTGGTGTAAATTTCATGATAGTTTTTTAGATATAACACTGAAATCACAAACAACCAAAGAAAAGGTAAATTGAACAAATTAATTTTTTAAATAAAAAACCTTTGGTTCTTCAAAGGACATTATCAAGAAAATGAAAAGACAGTGCATACAATGAAAGAAAATTTTTGCAAACCACATATCTGATGAGGATCAAGTATTCAAGATATATACAGACCATTATAACACAATAATAAAAAGATAAATGATCCAAATTTTAAATGGGCAAAGATTTGAATAGACATTCTCAAATGGCCAATAATAAACACTTGGAATTATGTACAACATCCTCAATCATTAGGGAAATTCAAAAGTACAATTATATATGACTTTACATCTACTTTAATGATTATAATGAAAAAGAAAACAAAAAATTGTGGAGAAATTGAAACTGTCATACATTTCTGGTAGACTATAAAATAGTATAGCCACTTTGGAAAACAGTTTAGCAATTCTCAAAAATCCTAAACATAGATTACCATATGACCTCAATTCTACTCCTAAGTATGTGAGTACACTCAACAGAATTGAAAAACTGTGTTCACACAAAAATTGTACACACGTTCATAGTGGATTATTCATAATAGCCAAGATATGGAACCAAGCCAAATATCCATCACTGAAGAAGGATAAATAAAATGTGGTGTATCATATAATGGAATATTATTCAGCCATAAAGGAATAAAGTTTTGATATATGCTTCAGTGTGGATGAACCTTGAAAACATTATATTAAGCAAACTAAGAAGCCAGACACAAAAGGTTCCATATCATATGATCCCATTTATATGAAATGTCCAGGATAGGCAAATCTAGAAAGATAGAAAGCAGATTAGTGGTTGCTAGGAGCTGGGGGGAAGGAAGAATGGGAACTTACTACTAATGGTATGGGGTTTCTTTTTGGGATGATAAAAATGTTATCGAATTTGACAATGCCAGCTGTTATGGTTTGGATCTTAAGTTCCCCAAAGTTCAAATGTTAAAGGTTTGTTTCTCAACATGTGGAGTTATTGGGAGGTGATGGAACCTTTATTATGTGTGGTGTAGTGGAAAGAGGTTGGTTTATTGGGGTGTTTCCTGGAAGGGGATATTGGGACCCTGGCCACTTTTTCCTCTCTTTTTCTTTCCTGGCCACCATGAATGAGCATCTTTGCTCCACAACACCTTTCTGCTATGATGTTCTGCCTTACCACAATCCAAAGTAAGGAAGCCATGCAACCAGGAATAAACTCTGAAGCCATGAGCCAAAATAATCCTTTCCTACTTTAGGTTGTTTTTCCTCAGGTATTTTATCAAAGTGACAGAAGGCTGACTAATACAGTGACATTACACAACCCTGCAAATTCACTAAAAACTACTGAATTGTATACTTTAAAAGGGTGAGTTTTGTGGCATGGGAATTAAAGCTTAATAATTTTTTTAAATGAGGTTCTTGAGCCAGGTGGGATGGTGCATGCCTGTAATCCCAGCAACTCAGAGACTTTGGCAGGAGGATCACAATTTTCAAGGCCAGTTTGGTCAATTTAGTAAGATTCTGCCTCGAAATAACAAAAAAGAAAAAGAGCTGGGGATGTAGCTCAGTGGTAGAGTGCTCTTCCTGCTCTGGTTCAATCACCAGTTCTACAAAAAAAAAAAAAAAGTTCTTTTAAAATTTTCCTATCATTGTTGTTGTAATATAATATCCTAACAAAGTCATTGCAGGAGCCAATAAATATAAAATGAATTTCAGGGCTGGGGTGTAGCTCAGTGGTAGAGCATGTGCTTAGAATGCTTGAAACCCTGGTTTCAATTTAGTAATAATCCTTTCTTCCTTTAGGTTGGTTTTTCTCAGGTATTTTGTCCAAATAATGGAAAAATGGATTAAGAAGATATTTCAAGGGGAAGGTAATATAATTGAAGTGGCAAAATAATAGCACAACTCTATGAGTAGATGGGAAAACAGAGATAAAAGCCACTTGGAAAAAAATCCATGATTAATTAAAAAGTCTTCTAGATCTAGAACAAGTTTAGGTGAGAGCAGAAGAGAAATAAACTAATTCCTTCTTTAATTTATTTTTCATTATTTGATCATAATCCTGAATCACAACACCTCAGGGACACTGTTAGAGTACAGGAAGATTATAAGAATATTATTATCATGATATGATTTTTATCAGAAGCCAGAATAAGCTGCCCAGCTTTCCTACCACCATCAGTGCTGGGCATTGAAACCAGGCCTCAAATGTGCTAAGCAGGTGCTCAATAAACACTTTGCTGCATCCCCAGCCCATGCTGCCCAGCCTTACACTATAACTTAATAATGAATGCAAGAGACTTCATTGGAAGCAAATTTTACCTCTAAACTACTTTCCTGTTGAAAATATCAACTAAGTCAACTTCAAAGTGACATAATAAAGCCATGTTTGCATTTCTCAATCTAAACTGATCAAGAATTACTCTGTAGTATAAAAACTAATGTTTATTTCAGCTTGCATTCTTACATAAAACACTAAAAAGCTTACTGGTTGGGTGAGAATATTTCCTTTTCTGGCTATGTGGAAATTAGATTTTTATATGAAATTAAAATTTTCCTTCACTGACATTAAACAAAAATCCCTATCCAAATATAATAAATTATTTAATTCACAATAAATAAATGACTGAATGAATGAATGAGCTATTTACCACAAAATTGTGAAGGACCAAGATCCTCCAATACAGCCAATCTATCACAATAAATACAAACTTCAGACAATGATATCATCTTATTGAGATTTGAGGGAAGGACATCTTGCAAGACCGCTTTATGGGAATACCAAGACTTGTCATTGTATCAGCAAGCATCAGCATCCTCATCAGTTCTGCCTGTATGTGGTCAGTAATCACAAGAAATAGTTACAAAATACTTTCAGAAATTCATTTTACCTAACCAGCGCAACATGGGAATAGAGGCCGGGAATTCTAATATTATTATCCATTTTACATCTTAGGAAGCAGAGACTCAGAATAGGGAAGTGACTTGCCCAAAGTCATCAAACCGGTCAGTGGCAAAGCTGGGACTAAACGCTGTATCTTCTGCCAGATCTCATCTTCTTTCCACTGCATTCCCTACTTCTCTAAGCAGGCATGTCAGAGGCAGGGTAGGGCATTCTACAGGAAGTCAGAATGAGAGAAAGGGAAGGCAACCGGGAAAAGGTGGAGAAGGGGACTATGACAGGAGGAGGTGTTTTATTAGGAAGTGAGTTAGGACTGCTCTAAATCGCCCCAAATGTCCCTTAAGTGGCACCGGTGATCACAAGTTACCCTGTCCCTGGGCCTACAACTCTGCTATTTTATTAGTCCACTATCATGTTGCAGACATTAATGTCCAAAAGAAATATAAGCATTTTTCCAGTTTGAGGTTCTGACAGCTGAATTTAGCCCCGCCCACAGAGGCTGTGGCCCCACTGTCTCGATTACACTGAATGCCTTGGGGTTTGAAGATACGGTGAGGTGTGGGGCGGTGAAGAGGTTTGCGATGGGGAGCGTTGTTAAGGTTGGGCCAAGGGGAGGTGTAGCCTGCGGTGGAGCTGTGGTTGGGGGATGTGGGTTTTGTGGCTGAGCTCGATGGTGAGGTAGGAAACCAGGATCAGAGCAGATAGTCAGGGTGGAGTTCACATGCCCTGCTGCGAGCACCTGAGAAAGACCGAGGAGGGTGTGAGGCTGGGTGGTCTCGAGGATGTAGGGAGGCCCCTCTTAAACGTCAGTGATTGGATGCTTCCTTAAGTCCCGCCTCCCTGGACCCCCTCTTCCTCAAGCCCCGCCCACAGCGCCAGGCACGCGCGTGAAGAGCGGGGAGGGGGCCAAGGCTGGAGCAGGGGGGAGGGGGAGAGGTGAGACTCGTGCACGCGCTCCACTCCCTGAGGGTGCGCGAGCAGCGCGCTCCCGCCACCCGCGTCGCCATCTTTTTCCCCCTCCGTCCGTCTGTCTGCCGTTGGCTTTGTCCGTCTGCAGCGCCGCCCCTCGGCTCCCGCCACCGGTTCGGCTCGAAGCCGCCCTCGCCCCGCCGCGGCCGGGTCCTGGAGAGCCCGGGCCCAGCTGGCCGGAGCTGCGGCCCGGGGCCCATTGTCCGGCGGTCCGTCTGTCCGGAGGCGGGGCCCAGGGACCCTGAGCGCAGCCGAGCGCCGACGCGCCGGGTAAAGAGGCCCCCGCGTCCTTCCTCGGGGCCCGGCCGAAGATGCAGGGGCTCCTCGCCCACTGTGGGCCGCTGGCTGTCGGTCCTTTTGTCTGTCTGCGTCTGGGGAGGGGGTCGGGGGCTCCTTGTGGTCCGAGGGGCGGGAGCAGCAGGGCTCACCCCTCCCCTTGGTCCAGCAGCCCTCCCGGCGGCCGCACCCCGGCAGTTCCTCTTTCTGTCCCTCAGCGGTCCCCGGCGCGGGGTCGTCCGCGCCACCGCCCTCCCTGCAAGGGCCCCCGGTCAGCCTGCGGCGGGTGCCAGGCCGCGTTCCGGCCGGGTACAGCCAGGGCGGCCCCGGCGTCTGACAGGCTTGGGTGGAGCTGGGGGAGGGGAGGATAGCGTGGGAGTGCCGACCCGGGGGTGTTAGTGCAGGAGTCTCGGTCTTGCAGAGAGCTTCTAAATTTAGATTTTGGAGCCGACTGTGTTGTCTGAGGGTTTGTCTGAGCCGCTTCAGAAGACCTCTGGCTCTTGTTTGTAATTCCTGGAAATTTACCTGTGCTCATGCTTGAAAAAGCCGTAGGGAATATCTCAGCTGATCATACACACGCTCCTTATCCGACCCGTGGGGCACCTGGGAACAGCGAAGCAGCTGCGTGAACCGCTTTCTTGCCCTCTCCTTTTTGGCAGATACACGTCACTTGGATTCAGGCGAGTTTACTTTGCTCCGTGGGAACTGCACCAGAGCAGGAGGTGGGAGTGCACCCTCTTTTCTTAAGACTGGCATTGCATCCGTACCCACTCCCTTGTTAAATCTGTGGTGTGCCCTGGAAACTGCAATCTAACACCTGTGGGAGAGCAGAGACCGTGATAAGGGGAGCTGTCGCACCCTCCGGAAGACACAAAGTCGCTCTAAAGAGGATAAAAGCTGCTCTCCTTTTAAAATAGAATCCCTTGTAGACCTGAACCTCGGTTTATCTTTCTTCCCATTCCAGTTTCCTTGATGAAGATGTTCTGGCAGCTCTCCATTTATGTTTTGGATTTAGTTTCAGATTGGGGCTTGGAAATTGAGGCACAGCTGGATGTAAAACGCAATGAATGACCTTTAGAGTAATCTGTCCATGGGTTTTTATTAGTTTTTACCTCCTATAAAACACTTGCCTAACCTCTGAGATCTTGCTTTGTGGTCAGGAGTGTCCTTTCAGTGCCGTTTATTTATTTCCATATTTATTTTCAAGAGTCCATGACCCTACAGAACTTTTTTGGTGGATGTTTTTGTTATTGTAGCTTTGTTTTGTTTTATGAGAGGGGAGAGCATTTGCTTATTTTCCCTCCATCCCTCAGGTGTGAAGTCCCATGGGGTACCATCTGGTCAGTTCCCCATTAGGCCACTAGGAGGACTGTGAGAGGCAATGGACACTATTTAAATATGCAGATGCTCATCTCTTGCACCTTGTAGCTTTTGTATTGAACTGTTGTCTTGCCAAGATTATCTAAATTGAGCCAGATTCAATTTATTTGGCATTCCTTCAGAAGAGACCTTATTACCTTTATCTCAATTTCAATTTCTGATCTTGATGGGGGAGAAAATATAGATTAGTCAAGATTCCATTTTTTTGTTTATACAATACAGGCATCTATTTTAGAAAGATTAACAGACAACCTGCATTTCATTTAACTCTCCTCTTTGTGATTCCAGAGACATAAAGGAAAATATCTGAAGTGATATTCATTCATTGCTTCCATGAATAACTAACTACTTGATTAGAAATGATATATACAAAACTTAGAGAACACATATTATTAGTAGTAGATATCAGCATACTACCCTCTAAATAATTATAATTGGTTTTTACTGTATACATTTGGAGTTTTTCTTTTTTTTTTTTTTAATTAAAGGTCTGAAAAAGAACTGTGTTTGATATGCAGATATGATAGAAGACTGCCTGAAAGCTGCTTCCTTTGCCACTTCCTGTGGAGGCCTGTCTTTGCCATTTGCGGTTTCTTTCTTTTGGTAAGGGGAGGCAGGATCTGATTACAGGTTTGAGGTCCTTTCTCACTATGTAGAAGAGTTAGTTGGCATAACATGAGGCAGGTCTTCATTAACTGGAGTGCTAAGGACAGCTAGTAGTAGTCTCTCATCATTCCTCTAAAGACAATAAAGTACAATTCTATATTTTTATGTAAGAGTACAATTTGAGAAGGCAGGCACTAAAAGAAAACTTGGGTGACCAGATCCATATTTGTGTCTTTGGTAGGAAAGATAATTTTTTAAAATATCATTTATTCACTCTTTCAGAGAAAATGTCATAGCTTCTGCTACTAATCCATTTAGATTCTCTACAATGCATATACTGGGCCAGTCTTTCTTGTAGTAAACCAGGATCTTCCTGAATTAAGTATCTGTCCCTTTCCATATAAGCAGGGCAGATGCATGTCTTTTCAGCACTTCTTACCAAGGGAGCTTTTCTGTGTTCCTCCCACTGGTCTCTGCTACACAGAGCGGAAATTGAAAAAAGGCTCTAAGGTTATTAGCTTTGCCCACCTCTCCAGAATATGGGAGCAGGACCAGGTTTGGGTTCCACATTGGGAAATTGAATCAGTACTCAGCAATGTGGGTGGCATTTGGCTCTTCTGGTGAGAGCCAGTCTTTAGCATTGGAAGTTTGATTTGCTTTAGTGTCTTGTCATCCATGGTGCTCAGCACTGTCCTGTATCACTAAATAGAGGCTCTTTTTCTCATGTTGTTTTCATTGAGACTTTTTTGTCTCACAGGGATATGATGCTTTTGTTACCTCTAGGCAAGATAACTTCTCTTTTGGGGGGTGGGGGGTACCAGGGATTGAGCTCGGGGCACTCAATCACTAAGTCACATCCCCAGCCCTGTTTTGTATTTTATTTAGAGACAGGGTCTCACTGAGTTGCTTAATGCTTTGTCATTGCTGAGGCTGGCTTCGAACTCTCGATTCTCCTGTCTCAGACTCCTGAGCTGCTGGATTACAGGTGTGCACCACCACACCCGGCTTGCAAGATAAATTAAAAAAAAAAAAAAAAGTCTAGAGGCTCCCATTCATGCAGATTGCAGGACTTGACTTCCAGTGGGCATGTGACAAATGAGCTGCCACACTCTGGCTTCTTTTGCTTCCTTTCACATCCATAGGACTTATCCTTTTGAGCTTACAATACTTCTAACCTTTTTGCCTGAATTTTGCATCCTTTTCTCTCCTATGATCATGATCACTTAACAGGATTCTGAATTCCACAGATGGATTTAGAGTAAAATTCTCTAAGTCATCTGAGGGAATCTCCTCTTAAATTTCTTGGACCTTGACATTATGGTGGACCTTGATATTATGGTAGAAATTTATTCACTTCTCTCTTTGATTAGTTCAATTATTTATTGTGATGGGTGAGCTTTATATGCTTAGGAATTACTTTTAAAAGTCTTTTTGTCTTTTAATTTTGTATATTTTTTGAAAACAAAGATGACATGTGCTAACAATATCCTTTTTTATTATAGCTTAGCAGCTGGCAAAGAGGAAGTAATATATCCAGTCGTGAAACTGGGAAAGGCCAGAGCTCTTGGATTAGGGAAACATGTCCCGTCGGAAACAGACAAATCCAAATAAAGTTCACTGTGAGTATTGGGCTTTGTATTCCAGAATCTTGGGATGTTGAAGGAGGGAATGAAAGAGTAATCTGAATTTAGGAAGAGCAGCTCACACTAATTAGTTAAGAAAGGGTTAAAGGTTTTGGATATGTGGATTTAAAATATGTCATGGACTGGGGCTGTAGCTCAGTGGCAGAGTGATTACCTAGCATGTGTGAAGCACTGGGTTTGATCCTCAGCACTACATTAAAATAAAAAATAAAATAAAGTCATACTGTTCATCCACAACTACAAAAACATTTTTTTAAAAATATGTCAGGTTAGTGGATGAGATGTTAGAAACTTACTTGGGGTATATGTGTTTGATTTATCCTTAGCATTAACATTAATAAATAGTTATAGGATATAGATGTTAGGACTGTAAAACAAAATAAACTGTAATGTAGCCTCTTATACATATACACATAATATAAAAATACAACATTAGTATAGGTTAAATACCAAATAGGGATGCTGTATACCATAAGTACTATACAAGTTAAGAGAAGGGATGTTAAGAGAATTCTGTTGACTAAAATAGCAAGGAGGCCCTAGACCATGAACTTAAACTGGGCCTTAGAGGGAGAAAATAGGTTGAAAAAGAGAAAGGGAAAATTGGGTAGGGAGAATGATGTGAGTAAAGATACAAGAAGGAATGCACATGATGTATTCAGAGGATAAGGAGACTTTTCATAAAGCAGAAGCTTCTTTTGTCCAGAAGTCAGAGGACATGAAGTTAGAGATGTTTACATTGGGGAGGTCTGAACATGAGACCAAGTTCAGACTTCATTCTGTGGACCGTCAGAAGTTACCAAGGGTTTTTAAACAGGGAGAGTGTAGAGTGACATTTAGAGTGCAGTGTTTTGATAGTATGAAGTAGTGCGTGGGATGGATCACATGAGGGAGAGATTAAAAACAGGAAGACCAGGCATGTGCTATGGCTTTGTTTTGTTTCTCGTTTCATATGTATATTATATGTGACATTAGATTGTAAACTTCTGGAGGGCAGGGACTGTATGCCATGTGTGTCCCTCTGCCATATGTATCTCTATTTCTAGCACTGCTCATAAAGAATGTTCAGAAAGTGCCTTATTAATATTAATATCTATGTACATTTTTGATAATTAGCCATTTTTCTGTAATGTAGGGGGATAAGCATTCTCACTCAAATTATCATATAAGAAACAGATTAAGGAGGACTGATTGAGTAAAGTATAACAACATCTGAAAAGAATTCAGAGGTGAAAAATATGAAAGATTTTAAGACAAAATAAGCCCCAAAAAAGAACTAAAACTAATTTAATTATAGATATTGTATGTCAGGCACTATGTACTTATCTTTCTGGGTAGTTTCAAGAGTAGGAGAGAAAATAGTTGAATAGAGGAATTAAGATGGCTTTGACATATTAATGACATTAGGGTAGCAAACCTCTCTACATGATCATTCTTCTATTTAAGTCCTGGGAAAGTTGTATAAAATGTAATCAGTTGCATGCTTCCAGAAGTGTATTCTGAAATAAGTAGATGTGCTTGGCTGCTAATGTGAAGGTGAATGGTTAGGAACAATATAGAATTTGCTGCTAAAATAGTAAGATGCAGTGTATCTGAATGTGAAGATGGTCAAGGGAGATAACCTGAAGTGTCTATAGGATAGGTCATTCACAACAGGCTCAGGGGGTTTGCCTTCTCTCTGGTTGAAGATGAGTATTGATAAGACACATAGACCACAAGTCAGGGCAGGTAAGTTACCCTTAGTAGAGATATGGGTTTCCAAGAAAGGCAATTGTAGGATTGAGTGTTCACCCATAAAACTTACGTGTCCAAAGACACTGCTTACTCCTTTTTTTTTTTTTTTTTTGGAGGTACCTAGGGCCTTGCACATGCTAAGTAAACACTCTACCAATGAGCTATATCCCCAGCTCTTTTTATTTTATTTATTTATCTGTTTGTTTCTTTATTTTGGTGCTGGAAATCAAACCCATGGCCTTGTGCATGCGAGGCAAGCACTCTACCAACTGAACTATATGCCCAGCCCTACTCTAGCCCTTTTTATTTTGAGATAGGGCCTCATGAAATTGCCCATGCTGTCCTCAAACTTGTGATCCTCCTGCTTCAGCCTCCTGAGTAGCTGGAATTACAGGCATATGCCACTATGCCCAGCCTAAGCCAGAAAGACTCCTTAGATTTGAGGAAAAGTAGCTGGTGGAATGATGGCAGGATTATAGTAAGGACAGGGGAGCTAGCAAAGACTTTTATGGCCTATGTCTGTGTCCATGTACTATATATCCATCAATTGCATCTCTTTCCATGATAGTTAATTAAAACTGAGATGAGCTGGTACTTTTATTGGAGTTGAAAAATAGATTGTCCAATAAGCCAGGGAGGAGGGGATAGTATCACATGTCTATAGGTGCAGAAACACAGCTACCAGAGTCAAGCAAGTGAACATTATACTGTTCGTGGAGTGAATGGGACTTTTCAGGTTCTTCAATGGTGAATATTAAAAGGGCCTTTACTGTGGGGCTGTGAACACAAACATTCAGCTGCAATTAAACCCCCCAGGAAGGGGCTGTTTTCAGTGATACATTTAGGCAGGGAGCTGGGAGGGCTTTTCAGGTGATTGACTTAGCTTGACCAAAGAAGACAAGAAACTGAGATTTGCTGGTTTCCTAAGATCTTCTGTTTATTTATTATTTTAGGGACTAAAGCTGACCCTAACCTTTTCAATAGATCACCTTCTCATTGGCCATAACAATAATGGCAAACAGAAATAGGAAATTTTAGTTTCCTGATGACTTGAGTCTCCTATCACCTTGTGAAATGGAACCAGTCATATTTATTGAACTTAATGATGCTTGTTTATTTAAAGTAAATGGAATGGACTCAAGGTCTGGGAGACAGGAAATTCTGCAGAAGCTTTGCTTAAATGTCAAAGCCAATCAGCACTTGAGCAGAGTAATGGCTGAGCTTCATTACATCTGCCTTCTGGAAAGAAGTTATGTGGCATGAAGCTAAAACACGCCTAAAGGGATATATTAAGAATCCCACTGCCGTAGCCCAGCAACATTTGTCAGATCCACTTTAGAAGCCAATGAACAGGCTGCTTTGGCACTCCCTTGGTTTTCCTCAGGACTGTTTTTATATCTAAATTACTGGCATGATCCTTCCCCAGAAACATCCAGACAGACTTGTGTTTAGCCTACTTGCTTCAATAATAGAGGCCAATGCAAAGCTTTTGGAATAAAAGCCCAGAATTATTAGTTATGGAGAAACTACTGATGGCTTAAAAGATCTATTTATATCTTTCCCCCTATTTCCTTCCCATCTCACCTCCTTCTGAGAACAAATTTCTGTTCACTGTTTCTAGAGAGGTTGAAAATATAGTCCCTTAACACTCACATTTAGTGTGTTTGATCCAAGCAAACCACTAAGTAAAGGAAAATTTCTTTTATTTAAGAAACTTTTGCTTTCAGATTACAAGATACATCAGAGACTAGAAACCTTTAACTTCAATTGAAAGCTTTTCACAGAGAAGAAAGAATAAAAGGCTTTAAGGTCTTTTCTAAAAAGCACAGCTTGTTTTGTCTTCCTTCATTCTGTAAGCATTCTTGTGTGGTAATGGCTATGTTCCCAACGTGATAACTTTGGTATTATACACAATGGGAACATTACTCAGCATTAAAAGAAAGTAAAATCATGGCATTTGCAGGTAAATAGATGAAGTTGGAAAATATATGCTAAGTGAAGCAAGCCAATCCCCAGAAAACAAAGGCCAAATGTTTTCTGGGTTACAAATAAGACTGTCATCTAGAAATGGACTCCTAAGCTCCTCACTCCCAGGACTAGCTCTTTTTCTCTGAAGCTGACATCTGCTCTCTTAGAGAATATGTTTTAGCTGCTTTACTTCATTTCAGTCAGCCTGAAATTCCATTTTTAAAAATTGTACCAAGGACCTAATCAACAAATGGGCCAAGGAACTGAACAGATACTTCTCGGAAGAGGATATACAATCAATCAACAAATATATGAAAAAAATGTTCAACATCTCTAGCAATTAGAGAAATACAAATCAAAACTACTCTAAGATTTCATCTCACTCCAGTCAGAATGGCAGCTATTAAGAATACAAACAACAATAAGTGTTGGTGAGGATGTGCTGAAAAAGGCACACTCATACATTGCTAGTGGGACTGCAAATTGGTGCAGCCAATATGGAAAGCAGTATGGAGATTTCTTGGAAAGCTGGGAATGTAACCACCATTTGACCCAGCTATCCCACTCCTCAGGTATAAACTGAGGAGCATACCCAAAGGACTTAAAAACAGCATACTACAGGGACACAGCCATATCAATGTTTGTAGGAGCACAATTCACAATAGCTAAATCATGGAACCAACCTAGATGTCCTTCAGTAGATGAATGGATAGGGAAACTTTGGTATATATACACAATGGAACATTACTCAGCATTAAAAGAGAATAAAATCATGGCATTTTCAGGTAAATGGATGAAATTGAAAAAATATATTGCTAAATGAAGTTAGCCAAACAAAGGCCAATTGTTTTCTTTGATATGAGGATGCAGACACATAATGGCAACTGGGGGTGGGGAGCTTGGGAGAAATGAAGGAACTTTAGTTAGGGCAAAGGGGAGGGAGGGGAAAGGAGGGGGCAAGCCGGTAGGAATGATGGTGGAATGAGTTAGACATCATTATCCTAAGTACATGTATAGGACACAAATGGTGTGAAAATATTTGTGTACAACCAGTGTCTTGAAGGATTGTGCTCTATATGTGAAATATGAAATATTCTGCCATCATGTATAACATATTAAATACCAAGGACCCAAGAAAGAGAATTATAAAATATTTTTCCTTTCTAATGATTTCATCTCAGTCTTCTTGCCTCAAAAGTGGCAAGAAGCCACTTTGTTCTCCAAAGTGGCTTGCATGGCCTCTTTCTTATCTAGTCTCCAGAACCTTAGCCAAATCCAAAGCAAACAGTATTTTGATTTCATATCAAAGAAAAAGGGAGATTTTTATTTGCTTTTTATTGTGGAACCCAAATATTAACAGGCAAATAAATACCCACATTTAATAAGATGGTTGCTCTACATTAATATCTAGAAACCAGAGGATATTTTTTTAACTTACTCCAACAGTTTCAAGAATGAAAAAATAATTCTATATTATAAAATCAGACAACTCTATAACACTTGTTAATCACTAATATCTCTATGGGTCACATTGTACTTGAGTTAATAGGACATAGTTTTAGCAAATCTCACTATTTTTTTATGCAAGGATAATTCCAGGGAATCAGAGCCAGAGCTTAGATAAAAGCTACCAGAAGATAATCTATTTATTTTTTCCAATGATGTGTTTTTAAGTTTGTTTTTTTTATATTTTACTTTATGGTGATGTTTAAAGTAGGAATAACCTTGAGGAATAACAGTAATCTTAGCTTATTTTCCCAAGTCAATAATAGAATAAAAGTGCAGTGTTTCTTTCCAGATTGCCAAAAAAGAGGGACAGAATTGATTTATCTCAATTATCCTAGGTGAGATTGCCAGCAGGAGCCTTAGATGGGGAAATTGTACTGAATAGACTCCTCTCTGATGTATGAAGGCTGAAATATTTAGACAACATCAGTAGGCAAAAATAAATTTTGAGTTCATGTTGATAAAGAGTAGCTGAATTCATGACTCCTGAAAAGTACATATCCTTTTAGATAGCTTTCTACTGATCCAATGGTAATTCTCTACTGTGAAAGTGAGAAAATGTATTGTTCATTTTTTTTAATATTTATTTTTAATTGTAGTTGGACACAATACTTTTATTTTATTTATTTTTATGTGGTGATAAGAATTGAACCCAGGGCCTCGCACGTGCTAGGTAAGCGCTCCACCGATGAGCTACAACCCCAGCTCCGTATTGTTTATTCTTTGCTTTTTTTTTTTTTTTTTTTAATACTGAGAATTGAACCCAGGGTCTTGTACATGCTAGGCAAGTGCTGTACCACTAATCTACATCCCCAGCTCTTTTTAATTTTATTTTGAGATAAAAGTTGCCCATGCTGACCTTGAACTTGTGATCCTCCTGCCTCAACTCCAGAGTAGCTAGGAATTACAGGCAAGTGCCACCATGCCCAGCCATTCTTAGCATTTTATAAACCTACTGATTTCTGACTAGGTTTCTTTAGTGACCAGAAGTATCACTGATAAGAAATGTTTGCCCTTGATAATTATATGCCTCGTACATAACTTATTCCATAGTACCATATCTGCTCATGGTCCCTAGATCTAAAAGCATGCCAGAATTCAGTGACTGCCAGTTGGCCAAGGTCTTGTGGTTTCAGTAAAACTAACATGGAGAAATTAAATGTTTCACTTTTGCAAAGAGGGAAGAGGAAACACTCTAATACAGAATTCATTTTGTCTTTCTCTAACAGTGAATTATATTCGGTGTGTCACCTTAGATTTGGTGAAGGTGAACTTAAATCAACTTATTTTTTTCCTTACTTGAGCACTGTGTAGCTACAAGTACACTTTAACACTATCCACCTCCATTCCCACCCACAGGATGAGTCATAATTGCCATAATGTCGGTTACTCTAATCCATGCATGGTAAGTCAACATGGTATCAGAACCATCATTTTTCCTTTCTCATAAACTGGTCCTAAAAACATTATTTTGACATTTGATTTGTATGTATTAATTTCTCACGGTATGAAGATAACATCAATACTAGGATCAGAGCCACACATAGACCAGTGTTTGTTTTCAGCAAAACCACTTTGATGAACCTTCTAACCTTGAACTTAATATCTCTACTAGAAAGCAGTTTAAAAATATGGACATTAGGGGATGGAACATGTGCTTAACATGAGCAAAGCCTTAGGTTCACTCCATCAAAAAAAAGGGACATTAGAGAGGAACAGAGACCATTTCCTGACCATCACTACCTTACTCCCTAACCCCTACCCCATGCTGAGGAGAATATTGAACATAGGGCCTTGCACCATTCTAGGCACAGATCTGGGTTTGAATACTTGATTTCACTATAGACCTTTGTTTTCTCCTTAGTAAAATATAGATAGTAGTCATGGATGGGATGTGGCTCAGTGGTAAAGTGCTCCTGGGTTCAATCCCTGGTACAAAATATTATTATTATTATTAATATAAAAATGTAATGTATTGTTAAAAATATGAATATATGGGGCTGGGGTTATGGTTCAGCAGTAGAGCACTCGCCTCACACTTGTGAGGCCCTGGGTTCAATCCTCAGCACCACATAAAAATAAATAAAGGTATTGTGTCCAACTACAATTAAAAAATAAATATTTAAAAAAATGAATATATATTACGTATATATTATATGTATAATATATGTAGTAATACCTGCCACACAGCCTGTAACATAGAGCTACCACATAGCATGTAAAATAGAGTCCGGAACTAACAAATGTCAAATAGTCACTATAATTGAAGTTCAGTTCTTATTCTTACTCAAGAATATTTGCTGAATGAAAGACAAAGTATATCACATGAAGCCTGCCCCACATCATTCTTTTCACTACCCAAGAACTAGTAGCACACATCAACTCACTAGTTTCTTCCTTTCACATTATTGTATTGTCTCAGAGCCGAGTCTATTTATTTTTCTTTCTCTCTTTAGTAAGAAAGAGCATGGTTTATTGTCACAGGTTTCACTTGTCACAGGTTTCACTCGGGCTTTCTATTATTCCCTCTTGCTGCTGAGGAGTAGGGACAGTAGTTTCCATCTGAGATAATGGAAACCTAGGGAAACCCAATGCTCTATTTTCCTTATGCCTGGTCTCCTGGAAATCAAAGAATGTGAAATGTTAACCTCTTCAGTAAGTACATGGATCCCAGACAGAGTTCATCAGAAGGAAATGCAAAGTCAAGGAAAGGTCCAGGGATTGAGGGTACTGCATACCAAAAAAAAACCATCCTAACCGCATTGGCCCAAGAAGACTAGATAAATATTATTTGTTATAAATTAATTGGCATGTTTCAGGAAGTTTTTCTTCAGCAGAAATTAGTTCATATGTTGTTGTTCTCCTTCTTGTCCATTATTCAGTCAGTTGATTTTCTCATGGCAATTCTGATAGGCATTAGAAAGAAAGTCAAGAAAGAATTTATAGAACATGTGTTGGAAGGAGAGTGACTGAAAGATGTGATTAGAGAAATTTAATAAGAAGAATTATTTGAAGCACTTGATTATAGTCCAAGGTAGACAGTGAGTGAGGACTATAATGCAAGTAATTTAAGGTGTAGAGATTTTACCCAGATTTACTGCCCTGTTTTCATCCCATCATTTTGCTTCTTTTGCTTCTATCTCCCCAATCTGATGGAAGGTTGTAAATGGAATTGAGATTCTGCAGTTAATTTATAAAATACCAATTGATCACCTTTTGAAGAGTCAAGAATAGGGGATTTAAGAAAAGTAAGCGATGCTTTCTAGAGCATCTGGCTTACTGCCCAGGAAGAACAGCTGTGCCCAGAAGCTGTTGGAGGCAGCAAGCTGACTTGGAGATGAATGACCCCACCACAGGGTACCTGCCTGTCTCCTATCTTTGAATGGTCTGACCTTCCAACCAGCTTGCCTGGGGATGTGCTGCCCAGCTGGTGGCCTGACTATTTTTCCTTGTGACCACCAGGGGATCAAGTATTTGCTGGGCTAGAAGAGCAAGCCCGCCAGGCGATGATGAAAACTGATTTTCCTGGAGACCTTGGCAGTCAGCGACAAGCTATCCAACAACTAAGAGATCAGGACTCCAGTAGCAGTGAGTTCTGCACCTTCTGGTAATGACTCAGGGCAATGGGAGAAGAATTATTAGAGTGTGTGTGCTCTGGGGATTATGCATGGGGGTTGGGAGGAAGATACAAAGAAGGAGATATGTGGATCCTCAGTGTCCCTAAAAGGGTTCTAAGATGTATGAGCATATGCTTATTCAGAGAGAGAGGACAGATTTGGCATTATATTTATTTTTAACTCTTGGACTACAGTACTTGGCATAGGCCATAGCCATACACAGATAGGTTTGTGATGGTTGTGATAGAGATATAGGAATAATTAGTGTTCAAGTAGTTCCTAGGTTAAGTCAAATGAAAAGAAAAAAATCCCTGTCTCTGAAGATCTATTTATTTATAATAAAACATAATTATGAATTTTTGCTTGAGGTTCCAGTTTTAATGTTTTATAGGTTTGTTTAGTAATGGGATTATGCAACACATAAAATGCTGAAGTCCAGATCTTCCTATACCAAAGCTCTTGGTAGATCTCTGTGGTTAGGAGATGGAAAAGATAGGCTCTCACAAGTTGAGCCTCATGGTTTGTCTGTTCATAGCCTGCCTGAACAGACACATTTTGAGATGTGTTATTTCCTAGGAAGATTTCTACACTGTCCTGATCTCATCCACTAGATATTGGTCATTTGTAAATATCAATTCAGAGAAACATTTCTGATTTCTCTCCATTTTAGACTAGGGAGAACAAAGAGGGAGAGAGTTCAGCAACTTGTAGGAACTACGATTTTCCCCAAACTAATCATTAAGCAACAACAACCACAAAAATAATTTAGCAATTAAAAATCACTTATGTATAGAAAAATGAGTCCCAAATTACCAAAAATCTATGGGACTCACCATTTTCCCAAGTAACAGGTAAGAATAACAACATCTACCAGAGTCTAATAGGTCTCCACTGTGGAAAACTTGCACCATCCCTGTAGGCAACACACCTTTCCTTTTTCTTTCTTCTTTATTTTTTAATCTTTCTGGTAGACTATTTAGATAACAGATAAATTACAAAAATGTATTTGATACAACATTGCCTTAGACTAAGCCTACAAGTATTCAAAGTACCAAGTAGGAAGCTGGTGAGAAAATATAGTATGATTTAAACTGCCTTTCCAGGGTCAGATCTAGCCCACCAACTGACTGGTGTATCTAACACAACATATGTAACTACTAGCAGATGATCTGGTTAAATCTTCTCATGAAGAAAGGAAATGGAATTGGCATTGCCCAGACAATGGTGGATTTAGAAATTATGTAAGGGATAATAGAAGACAAGTAGTACTGTTAGCAAGGAAATTTGAGTCTCACTGCAGATGCAGAGAGCCTAGTGTATTTCTCTCTCCTCACATCAGGCCCAGGAGTCTGAGATCTGTGGGATTGGGTGAGGGCTAGAGTTTGAAAGCTTCTCTATGGTTGGCTTCCTCTTCCTTGTGACCTTCAAGCCACTACTACTTTTTTTCCTTTTTTGAAAAAATTCCATTTGTTTTTGCTTTTATCATCTTTTTTCTATTTTATAAGTAATAGAGAAAGAAATCAGCTCATATAAATCTTACAGATTACCCAGCCATGGGTGGACCTCTCCACAGCCACATACTGCGTCCAATACTAAAACAGGCTCAATTCTTAATGAAGTCATAAGAAATGGTATTTCATTATAAAGTAAAGGACGGCACATTCCTTCAACTAAATGCATTTAGCTATCCATTAGATAATAATAATAATAAAAACCCAACAGAAACATATTATTCAGCTTAGACTGCTGTGTCATTAGTGGAGTAAGAACACAGTGAGTTGGGTACCACCACACTGCCTGAGGTTGGTTGTTGTGCTGATTTTTCCATTGTAACAAAGAGGCCTTTCCCTATAAAGTGACATCATTTTTAACTAATTTACTACGGCCCATGTACTGATATAAGAGAAAAAAAAAAAACTTGCTGGTGTTTCTTTAAGTGTGTCTTGGGATTTATTGGGAACAAATGAGTGTGGCTCACAGTAGAATAGTCAGTGACACCATGGAGAAACTGTGCAGAGGTTTATGGAGAAAAGTAAGTAATAAAATCAGTGAGAAGTGTTGGTAAGTCAGAGGTAATGGGTTGTGGGAATGAGCTCAGTGTGAGGTGGTTGGGGAAGTGTGAATTGAAGTGTCAGATATTTGAGAACCATGCATAAGAAGAATTATTTTTATGACTAGTTTCCAATACAGTTTTACCTCAGGTTTTCTCTTTAGTGTACATGTGGCATAATAAATAACAGTGATAGCTGCTTTCCACTTAATCATAATTTTGTATGCAACAAACTTTATTTGTTAACTGATAACAAACTCTACTACAAAAGATCTGAAAATGTTTTCCATTATATTTGTAAGCTCTAGGTGGACAGCAGCTCAGGATGCATTTCTGCAAAAAAATCAGAACAAGTGACCAGTTTATGTGTTCCAGGTGACAGTGAGGGTGATGAAGAGGAGACCACACAAGATGAAGTCTCTTCCCACACATCAGAGGAAGATGGCGGGGTGGTCAAAGTGGAAAAGGAGTTAGAAAATGCAGAGCATCCTGTTGGTGGGAAAGAAGTAGTAGAGCATGAGGCAAGTGAAAATGGCTCCTAAGTCCAGGAAAGCCCTACCCTTATACTTTGCCCTGATGTTTCTCACCCACATGTCACAGTCTTGCCTCTTCCAGTCTCCCGGGCCTTCCTATGTCTCTTCCCTCGTGGCATGGGAGCCCACACCTCCTACACAGTCTTCCTCACACTGGCTTTCCTTCTCTATTTCCACATTCCTGCACCCACATACAGCTCTCTTTTTAGACAGAAGAACCAGAACCACCTTTGCAAAATGGGAAACTAACTTTCTGAGATGTATTCTGGAGTATGTTTGCAAATTTAAGTCAAATTTAGTGAGGCATCACCTTCTCACTAAGTTGTTTCCTAAAGATTCATAAAAGGGAAGCTAATCCTTTCCCTGCAGAGTTTATTTTAGGGAGATAAAATAGATCAGCTCTCAGCCAGGTGTTATGGTGCATGCCTGTAATCCCAGAGACTCAGGAGGCTGAGGCAAAAGGTCAGGGGATGAGGAAAGCCCACTGGGAATTTGGCTCAGTTGTTAAGCACCCCTGGGTTCAATCCCTGCTATGTATGTTTGTATAAATAAATAAATATCAGCTCTCCCTGGGGCAATCCTAGCCTTGTGACAGGGAAAAAAAAAATTTAAAAAAAGGAAGATGCGAGCTTTATGTATTTATTTGTCAGGAGTAGGGATGAAACCCTTGGTGTTCTACTCCTTAGCTATATTCTCCAGCTCTTTTGGTTTTTATTATGAGATAGGACCTCACTAAATTGTGAGAGGCCTGCCTCTAACTTATAATCCTCCTGCCTCAGCCTCTCAAATAGCTGGGATTACAAGCATGCACCACCATCCCTGGCTCAATGCAATAAAATTTAATTCCTATTCAAACATTATTACTCTTTCCTTTGGCCTATACCAAAAACCTAAGGTTGACACTTGATATCAGATGGTGTTCCTTTTAACAGGATACCTGTTTTAAAGAGGTGGGACAAGGAAGAGATTAGTGAAGAATCTTCAGGAGTTGCCTCTTTGTTGAATTGCAGGTCACAGAGAATTTGAATTCTGATCCCTTGCTTGAGCTCTGCCAGTGTCCTCTCTGCCAGCTAGACTGTGGGAGTCGGGAACAGCTGATCGCTCACGTGTACCAGGTATGACATGGGGAGCTGTGAGCTCTAGAACCTGAACACTGGTAGCTTGATTATGACGCAGATCCTGCATTGGCCTTTGCCTCTGCTTCCTAAAGGACTTGTAGGTTGTTGCTTCCATCAAGATTCCACTCTAGGGCTGGGGCTGGGGCTCAGCGGTAAAGTGCTGGCCTAGTACGTGTGAGGGTTCGATCCCCAGCACCACATAAAAACAAATAAATAAAATAAAGGTATTGTGTACAACTAAAAAATAAATATTAAAAAAAAAAGACTCCAGGCCGGGCATGGTGGTGCACACCTGTAATTCCAGCTGCTCAGGAGGCAGAGGCAGGGGGATCTTTTGCTTAATTTTTAAAAGCACTAGCTGAAGTTGGATGTGGTGGTGCACGCCTGTAATCCCAGTGGCTCCAGAGGCCGAGGCAGGAGAATCGCAACTTCACTTTATCGAGGCACTAAGCAATTGAGTGAGATCCTGTCTCTAAAGAAAATTCAGAAGTAGGCTGGAGATGTGGCTCAGTGGTTGAGTGACCGTGAGTTCAATTCCTAGTACCACAAAAAAAAAAAAAAAAAAAAAAACAACTCCATTCCTCAGAATACCTTAGTGTGATATGTTGAGTAAATATGTTCTTGATTCCTAGACAGACACACTGTGAGAATTAAGTATCCACATTTTTTCTAAATTACTTAGTGCATATATTCAATAATGAAATAGAAGCTAATATCTAATAATTACAAGGACTTTTAAGAAAAAGAAGCCAACATAAATGTTTCTGAAATACCAATGAAAGTTAGTATAAACAAGGGGATAGGAATAATAGACTTGTTTATACCCTGATCCAATTACAGGCCTCCTGTGCCTTGTGATCTCTATTGACAAGTAATCAGTACATAGGGCAGCTGGGTTGTGCCATAAAGACAGTTGGTTTGTGCAAAATGTTTCTCCCAAAGAATCCTTGAAAAGATTGAGAAGCCAGTTGTGGAGCATACCTGTAACCAGGAGGCTGAAGCAGGAGGATCACAAGTTTGAGACCAGCCTCAGCAACTTAACAAGACCTTTAGCAATGTAGTAAGATCCTGTCTCAAAATGAACAATAAAAAGAACTGGGGATATAACAGTGGTGAAGTACCCTTGGATTCAATCCCCAGTACCAAAAAAACAAAAAACAAAAAACAACCTTTTTTAAAGATTGAGGAAAGGCAGGATACAAATACCTGTTGTATGCCAATATTCCCAGCTAGCTCCTAGATTTGGATTTGGATCATTCTTTTAAAATGTACTTGTAGGACTGGGTTTGTAGCTAAGTGGTAGAGCACCTGCCTAGCATTTGTGAGGCACTGGACTCAATCCTCAGCACCACATAAAAAAATAAATAAATAAAAATAAGGTTTAAAAGGTGGGGTTGTGGCTCAGTGGTAGAGCGAGTGCTTGCCTAGCATGTGCAAGGCCCTGGGTTTGATCCTCAGCACCACATAAAAATAAATAAATAAATAAAATAAAGATGTTGTGTCCAACTACAACTAAAAAATAAATATATATATTTTTTTTAAATAAGGTTTTAAAAAAACAAATATACATGCACAGTGTGAGCAGGGAGACAGAAATTATCCCAAGTGTGAATTCCTCTCAGCCTCTGAAGAGGGATCTGGAATTCTGCTGTTTCTTCAAACCAGCCACATGTTTCAGAATGTGGTCAGAACTCAAGCTAATGTGTACAGCTTGCTGTATCTTTTGTTCTTTAAGTTCTTAGCATTGGTAAATGAGTAGATATTGGAGACTTTATAGAAAAGCTGCTATTCATGATTTTTGTGTATAGAGCTGACTATAGTATATTATCATTGTCTGTTTCAAAAAAGGAAAAATTGGGGGACTAGAGTTGTGGCTCAATGGTAGAGTACTTGCCTAGCACATGTGAGGCACTTGGTTAAATCTTCAGCACCACATAAAAATAAATAAAATAAAATAAAGGTATTATGTCCATCTCCAACTAAAAAAAAAAATTAAAAAAAGAAAAGTTGTAATTTATATTTCCTTTCAACCTTATTGTATTTAATTGGCACAGATTTGTATATGTTTTAGAATACAAACCAATTGGGGCTGGGAATATAGCTCAGTTGGTAGAGTGCTTACCTAGCATACATAAGGCGCTGGGTTCAATTCCCAGCAACATCCAAAAAAAGAAAACAAACGAATTGAGGAAAAACAAAAACTCAAGCTAATTAATCTAAACAGTGATTTGAGTGGCCAGGACCTTTTGAAGGTCCACTAACACAACAGGCTATGACTTTTCCAGGAGTTAAGCTAGAATAGTTCTAAGTCCTTTGTCCTGAGACTAAGGAAAGGAGATGTTTTCCAGAAGTTCTGTGGGTGCAGATTTTCCTGAAGGTAGTGCATGATTGACAGATTAAGGCTCTGTTTTACAGCACACTGCAGCAGTGGTAAGCGCCAAGAGCTACATGTGTCCTGTCTGTGGACGGGCCCTTAGCTCCCCAGGGTCACTGGGTCGCCACCTCCTAATCCACTCAGAGGACCAACGATCTAACTGTGCTGTGTGTGGAGCCCGTTTCACCAGCCATGCCACTTTTAACAGGTTAGTTGGGCACCTAACCTTGTTGTCCTGGGAGCAAGTTACTGGGTATGGGTTCTACTTTTCCAAGTCAAAACAAAGGCTAGAGATAGGTAATGCAAAAGTGACTGACACATGACATTATGTATTAGATGACCTCAAAGGGAAATGAATTCCAATCCCACCCCACCCACCCCACCCCCACCTTTTCAACTAGAAAGAGATGTAGTGAAGTGCAGGAACACTAATGCTAACTTGTGGAGAAAGGGTTTCAGGATGCTGAATAGATTCTGGTGTGAGGACATAGTCTCCACTGGGTCCTAGGAAGACTGGAACTCTGAACACCCTGTCTTCATCCTGTTTGCCTGGTATACAAGACAGAGGCTGCCTTTCTTGCAGGCAGTGCCAAGTGGGAGCTAGTGAGACAGTGGAATGACTGTACCCTGCCATAAAGGAAGCCTCCACCTCCAGGCCCCTTCATTCACACGGTAGGCTTGATCCTGCACAGCTCTTCCCAAACACTGGTATTCCAGCTCCACTTGTAAGGATTCCTTTACTTCTGCTGGGTTGCTGTGGCAGGTGGTTTAATCTCCAATTTCTGGTGGGCTTTAAGACTTGGGAGATGCCCTAGCCCAAAAAGAAGTGGTCTCTTAACCATTCAAACTAACCTCCAGAATTGAACCTGGAGAAACTGGCCTGGAAGGAAAAGAGTAAGTTAGGGATAGATATCTGAACCTTGCTAAAAGGAAACATTAATCATCCAAAATTTTTACTTTCTAGCGAGAAACTTCCTGAAGTACTTAATATGGAATCCCAACCACCAGCCCACAGTGAGGGCCCCTCCAGTACTGAGGGGAAGGACATTACCTTTAGTCCTCCAGTGTACCCTGCTGGAATTCTGCTTGTGTGCAACAACTGTGCTGCCTACCGGAAGCTACTGGAAGCCCAGACCCCCAGTGTACGCAAGTGGGCCCTACGGCGACAGAATGAGCCTTTGGAAGTACGGCTGCAGCGGCTAGAACGGGAGCGCACAGCCAAAAAGAGTCGGCGCGACAATGAAACCCCGGAGGAGCGGGAGGTGAGGCGCATGAGGGACCGTGAAGCCAAGCGCCTACAGCGCATGCAGGAGACAGATGAGCAGCGGGCACGCAGGCTGCAGCGAGATCGGGAGGCCATGAGGCTGAAAAGGGCCAATGAAACACCAGAAAAGCGGCAGGCCCGGCTCATCCGAGAGCGGGAGGCTAAGCGACTGAAGAGGAGACTAGAGAAAATGGACATGATGTTGAGAGCTCAGTTTGGCCAGGATCCTTCCGCCATGGCAGCCTTAGCAGCTGAAATGAACTTCTTCCAGCTGCCTGTGAGTGGAGTGGAATTGGACAGCCAGCTTCTGGGCAAGATGGCCTTTGAAGAGCAGAATAGCAGCTCTCTGCACTGAACCACACCCTCCTGCCTGCCCTCCAATCCACCTAAGCCCACAGGGGTCAGTGCTACAGCTACCTACAAAGCCAGCTTTGCTTTCAGAAGCAGGCCCTGGTTTGTTGTAGGAGGATCTGTGCACCCCTTGCATGTGGGAACAGGATGCTGGGGTCAGGAGGGACCCAGCTCAAGGCAGCTCTACACAAGGGAGCAGGCACTCCAGAGAACTTGACTCCCCCAGCCCATTGCAGCAGGCTGGGCTTATGGGACTTAGGGGCCCAGTGCAACCCATGAAGTTGTGAGGGCAAATAAATTAATTTTATCTTTACTGGTTCTTTCCTGCTTTTGTCTGTTTCATTCTAGCTAGTGAAGTGAGGTGGGAAAGAGCTGGGTGGGAGTTCTCAGGCAGTGACTTCTCATGGCTTGCTAGCAAGGTGCTCTTCAACCTGGGCTACCTAAGCAGAGTTCCCTGAGTTGATGAGAATATGGCACTGAAGAAAGACCCACTGCTGCCTTTGTGAAAATTCATTCCCACAGCCATAATGAAGATAACTATAGTCCCAAGGGCTATTTAAACTTAACTTGCCTTTCCAAATTCAAAAGTAGTAGAAGCCTTTCCTCACAATTGGCATTTTCTAAAGATTATGCAGTACTTTTCTCAGTAATGTAGTTTGTTACACTTAAAAGTTCTCAAACAGCCATCAACTGCATCTAGGAATATGTTCATGGTAGTGGCTGCAACATTAAGGTCCATAGCACCACAGAACTCGTTTTGAGAGTACAGGTAATCCATCTTTTTATTTATTTTTCAGTCAAGGTAGGCATAAAATCCATTGAGGAAAAACCAGAATTAAGATGATAGAAGAGTTCAAGTCAACAGTGGCAAAGATTAGAGCAGAATGACTACTCTGGTAGTTTGTGTGGTTGCCAAGCCTTAGAAGAGACAAGTGCTGAGGTCATTTCTAAAGTTTCTGTGATGGTACAGAACAAGCACAGAACTTTCCTTAGTCTGCACCAAAGGTTGTGTACAGTTTAGATAATTATAGATCTGGAGGTCCAGAAGGAAGTGCCCTAGTTAATTTGTAGCCAGAAAAAAAAACTATGCCAGGAATGTGGACCTCTTCCAATATCAAAACAGGGAAACTTAAACTCCTTTCTGACCTCCACAGGTCCAAGGCGAGTTAATAGTATTAAATGACTGCCCACCAAACTAGAGTTCATTCACAGCAGGCATGAAATATCTGTCTTAAAATTACATTTAAAAGAAAGTAAGTACTTAAGCAATCCAAATGCCTTTCTCTCATAGAGCTCCATGCTGAGGTTCTACTTGGGATGTTTCAAAATGGTTGCACATTCACTATGTGCCAAGGATTACTTTGAACACTTAAATGGATCATCACATTTAATTTTCAAAACACTCAGTTAATACAAACTCAAGAGTTAGATGCCTGGGTTCAGAACTGCTCTGTAAGGCTGGGAAGGTAGCTCAGAGGTAGAGTGCTTACCTAGTATGTGGGAGGTTATAGGTTAATCCCCAGCAATGCAAAAATCAAAACTGAAAAAACAAAAGGCTGCTCTGACTTTTATTAGCTGTGTAACTTTGAAAAGTTAGTTACTTAACCCCAATGTCTTGGTTCCCCCAGCCACAAAATAGAAATAATAGCTGTAAATGATTGTTAATATCAAGTACTTAGGATAGTTTGTGGCACACAGTAAGTGTTCAATAAATGAATATGAATGTTTTATCACTCACTGGTGGCCAGGTTTCTAAGTTAGAAGTAGCTATGCTGGGGATGACTTACTCATAATTTCTGGCAGTATTCCTGAGTAAGGAAAAAGAATAGAAGGGAAGTCCAGCAGTGAGGATACCTACAGGTTCTTGTGACTGGTGCTGATGGTAAGTCTATTGTAGACTTCTGAGCTCTGAAATTCACACCAAAAGACAGCAGACCATGCTTTAGAGGTAGCCTCTACCATTTGCCTGAAGCTCACAACAAGATAGGCACCACTTATGTTCCATTCCAAGTATTCCCACAAAGCATTTCAACCCCACTCCCCCATCCCCAGGGGCCACCATCTAAGCTGGGATAGGAAGAAGGCGCAAACACCAAAAGGAAAAGCTAGTAGTTTATATAGATAGATATATAGATATATAGATATTGATATATATTGTTTACATAGTCCACAAGTTAAATGCAGGTATCCATAAGAAGAGCATTAACAATAAAAATACAATCTGTGTGTAGCCAAGTACAGAGACTTAAAATGGTAAAACAGCAAAAAGGATCTCACAAAAGTACAAATATACAGTACAAATTGATTTATTTAAAACAGTTACAAAAAAGCACAACAAAATAGAGATTATCCTTAGAATTATTAATGCTTTGTTAAAGATCAGGTAGGATTAGAGGGTAAGAAATGGTATTGGGCTGGGGGAGCACCTGACTAGTTCTAAGGCTTTAGATACAATGCAGTTGATTACATATTAATTCAGCCATTACATACTGGGGATAGTAGTTGGGGGATCAGTAATTTATCTACAGGGAACTCCTACACAAATCAGATCCATCCAGACCTCCCCAGTGCCGTTCTTATCTATTCCTTAGGACCCTAAAGCCACCAGGATGACAAAATTCCCATCCCTTCTCCACCCCATTCCCTATCCATGTATTCTTCCCTCCCCTAAGGTGCTGTGCAAGCTGAGAGCAGACTGCTCTCTGTAGCTGGAACATATACTGTTTGGCTACAGGGATCCTGGGTGACAAGTAAGTTTGTAGGGGACAATCTTGTTTTAATACTTAAAGTTAGCCATGAGTACAGTCAGTCTCTTCCCCAACACAATCTAGATTATTTTGAATGCAAGTATGAAGCAAGTGAGAGATCAACCCTGCCTTCAGCAATATCAGCAGCTCACTAACCCTCACAGCTTGTAACTACATGCAAACTCCCTGTTTGGGGGTGGGTGTAAAACCACTGTCATCAGCTCTCTTGCTCTCTCTCTCTCTGAAGAACCTAAGTCCCCATGACAGTCAAAGACAGAATAAATGCTTGCAAGTTTGACAACAGGTAAAGGCACATGGGCTGCTGCCACATACACTGCAGACAGGAACCCAATTTGGGGCCATCTTTACTGCTGAGTATTTGCAGTGGAATGGCTTTGGGATTACACAGACTTTGAATTTGCAATCTACTAGGGGAGGATCTAGGCTTAATAGAACTAATAAAACTTTAGTGTGAAAAGTGCATTTATTACTACTGTTCCTGCTGGGGAGGTTCAGCAGGGCAAACTGCACCACCTTTCCTCCTTCTGCCCCAGGCACTGTGCATAGTCTGCAGGTAAGGAGAATGCAGCTGACTCTAGCATCAAGGGCCAGGCTTCTGGTCCAAAGATGGATCCTAGAGTTGAAAGAGCAACAGACAGCTGCAAAGATCCAGACGCTGATTTTATTATTGCATAATGTGGGAGACCTTTCCTACCCCAGGGAAGCTGGAGTATGAAGGGTTCCCAGCAAAGGGCTAATAGGCTCCTGATCAACATCCAATCTAGTAGGGTTCAGTTCTTCAACTGTAGTGTATACTTTTTCCCATCTGGAAAAGTATTGTAGCTTCAGTGTGGTTTAGTAAACTTAGCCCTAGGAGGTCAAGACATCTCCCTAAAACTTGGCCTCTGTCCTACTTATTTTTCTTCTAAGACTGTGGCCTAATCTCCCATGGCCAATTCAGTTAATCCGGTTATCTTTACTCCAATGGACCTGGGTCCTTTCCCAGTCACACCATGTCCACATTCAACTCCAGTGTGATCACTCAACCCTTAAACATGCGTGCTTGTTGCAGGTCTAAATCATACTACCATCCTGTGCTTCCCCTAAATTGCCTCTGATGCCCACTGGTAGAAATAAAACTAAACTCCAAATGGCGGGGCTACTTCATCCAAATCTCCAACCCTTTCCCAGCCCCAGAATCCACATAACTGGAGCTAGATGAACCTTGCTGGGATGCTGGCGCAGCCCCTGATGTGGTTCCCCTTCACTCAGTTTTGAAAACAGGATACAAAATACCACAAAGGAAAGAATCAATACAACAGAAAACACTCACTAGCAGGACCTGCTTGTTTCTCCCTCAAGACAGGCAGATCTTGGAGCCAAGGGGCTCCTGACAGCACTGAAGCATATCCCTTTGGATTCACCAGCCCACCAGCAGCATTTCACATAATCCCTATTCAACATGACTGTGCTATATAACACTGGCAGAACAAAGTTAAGAATGGAGAGGATGCCTGGATTTAATCTATATGGCTGAAGACATGGGGAGCTACAGAAGGCAGCAGGCAGGAAAGTGAGCAGGCAGCAGTAGCGGCAAAGCAGCACATAGCAAACTCCATGGTGTTATGACCAACTGGGACCAAGAGGGCAGAAGGGTCAGTCCAGATCTGCAGGGGCCCCTCCCCTTAGGTACAAGTACTCAGTCTGAACTCCCAGACCCTCTCCCCAAAGAGTACTAATTCTGATAGGGCTGATGATCTAAGACTTAGATTATTACATTTTATCAGGTTCCCCTTCTGCCAAACTGGTATGTAGGTATTTCTGTACAGTGCCAGGGAGTTAACCATCTTCCTTCCTTTCCCTAAACTCTGGGAATGCCCTACCACTTACTAGGGACTGGCTGGTCTCTGTCAACTGCTCATTCCCAAAGAGTCAACAACTTTCCACTAAAATGCTCTAAAACCCATTTCCCATGTTTCTTGCAAATTTAGGCAATTCCTATAAAGAAGAACACACACACCATAGGTTATTCTTATTTCTCATGCCTGGAAAGACTGAACCAGAGGGAAGATGCAAGGGGCAACGCCACAGCTCTGACCAAATGATTTAGAGCAGAGCTTCTTTTCCTGGGGGACCATACTTTATGTGAGATACCTCCGTAGTGCAGCAAAATCAAGTATTAACAAATTAAATGCATGGCACGATTATTAGGGAAGCTGCTGATACTACTTCACAGCAAGAGACAGAATCACAGCAGAAAGTCAGGGTCCAACATGCCAAAGTCCCAATGATTTTTCTTTCCAGAATTCAGTGGAAGTTACCAGACTGAGAAGTCACAACTAGCCTGAGTGCAGAGTGTTTTGACTTAACTTCTTGGCCTGTATGTAGTTAGATCTAGGTTTCCTCCTTAAAGGACGAAGCTCAGTTGGTACCCATGGTGGATGTTTCTTGAGCATCTGCTGTGTGCATGTCACTATTTTCAGTTGATGAGCCTTCCTATGAGGAAGGATGTTTATGAAAAACACATGCATACAATAATCTCTAGGAATGAGTTGCTCATGAAACAGCCAGAGATGAGGCCTTCTCCTAAGGCTCTCATCGGACAGGATTCTTGAAGACTCAACCCCACAGGCCCCCACTGTAGGAAACAAGCCAGAAAAAGCAGCATTCTGAGAGAATGGGGGACAGAGAAAGGAAAGTACATGATCTCAAATGCAGTACAAGGTTGGTGTTTGGTTCTGATATGAACCAAAGTACTTGTGGTCAGGTCAGCACCCCTTTGGATGGACCCCCAAAAGCTCACTGACCAGGTAACTGCTCCCAAGGAATGAAACAGTGGAGTATAGGGCTTGTAGTAAACAAGCCAGTCTCAATTACTCTGTTCCCCCAGGAGAACAACCTTTAGCACCTGAACACTAAGAATGACTCCATTCTCAGAACTTTCCCTCCCCCCAAGGAGGTAGGTAAGATTATTTATCCCCATTTGGCAGCTGGGGAGGAAGTGAAAGAGCAAGAGGTCATAAGACTTGCCTAAAGCTTCTGACAGAACAGAGCTCAGACCTCAAAAGTTTGGGACTCCTGATGACAGGCCAGGCCTTGGCCAGTCCAAGTACATGTATAAAGGAAATGCCAGGATCACACCCTGGGAGAACTCTAATTAGAGAGCTGGGTGGACAATACCCTGAGTTGCCTTCAAGAGTCAAAAGACCCCCAAAAAACAAACAAAAAGATCACTCACCCACCTGAAAGTTGGTAGGGGAGCCTAAATCCCATTCCCAGTGGAATCCCACAGTCCAAGCTGATGCTAAAAGTTGTGTGGGGCGGGGGGGGGGGGGGGGGTCTTAAGACACAGGGAAGCAAATGCAACTATGACTGAAAATATTCCTTGCAGAGGAATACACCACCACAAAATAAAACATACTTCAGGTAATAAAATGTTACTGAGACTACCCTAGACTCTTAGAGCTGGCAGTGGGAGGTGACGGCCTGGAGATGAGTGAATGCTAGGAGAGGCAGTGGGAAAAGATAGGAGGGGGCCATGTAAAAATATCAGAATGGGAATTGCCCAGCCAGGCACCTTTGCCCTGGCCCAAGGCATGGTTCCCACTACACTGTCTGGCAGTGGGAGAGGAAGGGACATGATTTTGAGTTTTTAAAAACAAAGATTATAGCTCATAAGGAAACCAGAGATCCCTACACACCAAAAAACTAGAGGTTTTGTTAGACTGGACAAAGCCAATTTTGCAGAAGAGGAAAGGCAATGCAGCTACAAATGAGGTCCAGGTCAAGACACCATGCAGAGATTAGGGCAGCAAAAAGGTGGGGTCAGCGCAGGCACTTAGGCACAACATAGACAACAGAGGGGTGCCTGGGGAAAAGGGTTCACTGGTTCTTCCCAAAGTTACCATTACCAACTAGAGACTCAATGAAATCTCAAAGCAGGTCTGGCATATTGAATAAGGGGTGCTTTGTTAAGTCAGCTACCTTTCCAGAAGCCCTGCCTAGAGCTGCATCATCTGGTTGTCAGGTTCTTCTCCTGAAGTTCCCCGGGTGGGTCGTGGCAAGGCAGTACTTTACTCCAAACCCTGTAGGGTCCTCTCTCCCCTGGCCCCTAAGCTGCTAGAAGCCTTGTAGGAGGGATAGTGAGGAGACATGGGAAAAGGGCTGAAGCAGAGGATCAAGCAGAGTCCTGTAGATGAGAGTGTTCCTCCCCCACAAACCCAGCCATAGACATCTGTAACAAAATCACCCTTTAAAGTGCACATCTCTCACAAGAAGGGTTCTGGGTGGGAACCCTCTTATTTCCAACCATGGGGCCTCCTGCCCTCCCACTAAAAAAGAAAAAAAAAAAAAACACTTCAGTTTTACTGCTACTATAAGCTGTGGATCATCATTTTTGGCTCTTTCTTTGCTCCCTCCCTCTGCCACCTGCTCCCAAAGCCTGTACTTTCCCTTGCAGGAGCTAGGAGTGGGGAGAAAAGAACAGGGAGGCCCTGATTTTGGAATGTTTCTTATCCTGTGTGCACCCCCTTCCTTCCTTGCCCCAGGCCTGCTGCTCCCCATCATAGTACCCCCTGGGGCTGTCCTGAAAGAATGCCAAGGGGTAATGAGCAACAGATCCTGCCTCGGGAGGCTGCCTTCACACTTCCCCTCACCCCCAAAATCTCACTGCCAAGAGAGCCATTCCCTGCTCGGCATGTGCAAATCCTCTGGCTGCTCACCGTGAGGTTCACCTCTGGGGTTAAAGTCCCAGTCCTGGTCTGGGAAAGAGGTTCATTTTCCTGCATTGGAACGCCCTTCGATGGACAGCTTTACCTCCTGTGGAATAAAAGAGGGACGGAGCAGAGCAGCCCGTGCCTCCTCCCCTTGCATGCTGTATCTTTGGAAGTTCAGGGCTGGCCAGCAGGTCTGAGCACCAGGCTCAGACTGGGAGGGCTCTACTGCATGGGAGCCCTCTCCTGTAGGCTGGTTCTTCCCCTCACTATCACATAGGTCTCTGGGTCCCAAGACTGTCCTCTCAGGCCTTTCTTGGGGTGGACCCAGCTGGCCTGGGGGAGGACAGCTGGCCTGAGAAACTGAGTTACTGTTCAAGCTCTGTAAACTGATAGAGATGCAGACATCTCCCACCTGTAGCCGATGACAGGGCAAAGAGAAGAGTTGTGCAGTCCGCCCAGGGCTGCAGGAGGACCAACCCTGGCCATACACAAAGAAGGGGTGTTCAGGGGGCACCTCGATGCTCACTTTGCTCTGCTGCTCGCCAACCACAAAATGTAGCATGACAAATCCAGGCCATTGGCTCTCCTGAATGTCCACGACCGTGCTAGAGTCAATCTTCAGCCCCCCACTCACTTCGGCACTGCGCACAAAATCTTGGGTCTGGAGGTCCTCCACCCGCTTCAGCTCCCCTGTAGCCAGCTGGATGATGGCGCCTTTCATGAAATGGGAGGGCAAGTGGGAGGAGGTAATAGGGGGTGGCGTTGGCTCCTTGTCTGGGAAGGTGGCTCTGGTCTGCACGTCCAGACTTGATGCCACCAGGATCTCCGAGCCCACAGGCAGCAGGCCTGGGTCAGTTCCAGTGGGCACCAGGTTGCCATTGGCTACAACCATTGCTTTGGGTAAAGGTCTATGTTTCACCGGTTCCTGATGGGACTGAGGGTAGAACCCACGGGACTGGTTTTTCTCTGCCAGCTCTGTAGGATTCCTGGCTGACCCTCGTCCTTCAGCCTGATGGTCAGGGGTATGATGGGACAGGTTGAGGGGACTGGGTTCATCCTTCCTCTGAGCTGCCACCACACGATAGTCCTGAGAAGCTAAAGCGCCAACCACCCGCTGGACTTCGAGGTCCGTGTCTGGGGTCCCTCGGTGTGCCGGCACTGCCACCTCCACCCGCGGAGTCTGAGAACCTGAAAACAACTGTCCATCCACCACACATTCTACCACTGGCACCAATCCTTGGCCTTCACCCTTACTGCTGGGAGAGTCAAGGGCTTCACTTTCCCGTCTTACTAAATTTCGCTCTCGCTGTCTCTGTCCTCCATTGGCAGCAGCTGCTTCCAGAGCAGACTGGCCCTCCTGAGGGGTAAGAACTGGGCTCGTGCCTGCTGGAGGGTTTTCATGCAAGGGATAGCCAGCAGGTAGTCTAGACATCTGGTAATAAATGGGCATCCGTCCTGGAGCGAGGTCCAGTGGCTGAGTATTCGAGTGATGTGGCAATTGCCCAGACGGAGAGGTTGCAGAGGGGGCTTTGTTAAACGAGTGGGCTGGGGATGAAGCCTGTGGGGGAGGGGTGGCTTCTTCTGCCAGGAGTGAGGCATATGGCACAAAGTGTGGAAGGTGAGAGGTGGTGAGACTGGCAGAAGGAGAAAGGAGGGGACTCGGTAGGAAATTAGGTGGCACAGCATAGGGAAGGCTATAAGGAGACCCAATAAACTGCAGTGAGGTGGATGGGAGCTGAGCATAGTGGATTGGGGGATAGTGGATTCCTGGATGCTGAATCAGTGAAGACGCTACATTAAACGTGGGGGGCAAGGGGCTCATGTTCACCACAGATGGGAGGCCAGTCGGTGAGAAGGTGGCAGGTGGCACAGCCACCTTATACAGCATGCCATACTGGTCCACCGTCAGACCAGTGATGGCCTCAGCTCCATCACCCCCCAGGCTGACTCTGGCTCCAGCCTGGCTCTGCCCAGCCACCACAACCCCTCGGGACCATTCAGAAGCATCACTAGAGGGTGTGTGGTTTGTGGAGCAGCTGGTCGTTCTCCCCATATCCTCGCTGGTCACGGGGAGGTCTCGTTTCTTTGGTGGAAGGCATTCCTGACTCCTCTCATGAACAGGTTTCATATTGCTTTGTGGTGTTCCTGGAGTCTGGAAGGGGTTGGCTTGCTCCCTGGGGCATCAGAAGTGGCTTCTCTGTAGCTTCCCTGCACCCCTCTCTGCTGCTGGCTGGGGTGCCCACATCTGCTAGGGAACAAATCAGAGGCAAAAAAAAGTAACCTATGGAACCAGTTCAAGGTAAATAGCAAAAACTGTGTCCAGGGAGGAAGATGTAACAAAGGGGACTGGTGGGAAAAAAGGAGATATTACAAAAAGAACAGACAAGGAGGCTATCTCCCTACTCATCAGCTTAGGACAAAAAAGAAACAATCGGGGAAACCACAAAGCACAAACAGCTACAAGGACTAGCATTCAATGATACATAAATAACCTGAGGGCTCCATAACCTTAGAGACCAAGAGCTTCAGGATTAGTCTAGTCTCCCAAAAGGACCTTGACCCTTCTCAGTTTCCTCCCTTAAGGGGGATTTAAAAACAAAGTCTTTACAGCTGGCTTTTTTCCCTAAGTTTCTCCTTTTGCTACCAAAGACTAATGTGCCATCTTCTTTCCCTGAATATATGACCTCATCCTTGCTTCCTTTCCCCAGACTAATTTGGGTTATGATCTCACCTACCTACTCCCATCTCTTCCACTCCAAGCCTGGCTGAATTCCCATCCTCCTTTACCTCATATCACCAGTGCTTCAATAAGACCTGAGGTTTGCCTGTATTTTTTTATTTTTTTTAATTATCTGTGCTCCCTGAACGTGATAAGAAATATAGTACTTTTTTTTTTTGCCCCAAGAAACGACATTCTACCTTGGGCCCTGTAGAAAGAATGACTCTACTAACTTGCTTTAGAATTTGATTCCATACTCTGGCAAGACTTCCTTTCTTTTCCTTGACCACCTTCAATTCGCTTCTTTTTTTGTTTGTTTCTTTTGCCAATGGCTCATTTTTTCATTGTAGATCTGCTCTAGATACCACTTCATAAAATTCTGGTTCCATTCCTCCCAATATTTTTTTTTTTTTTTTTTTTGGTGGGGGTACTGGGGATTGAACGCAGGGGCACTCAACCACTGAGCCACATCACCAGCCCTATTTTGTATTTTAGAGACAGGGTCTCACTGAGTTGCTTAGTGCCTTGCCTTTGCTGAGGCTGGCTTTGAACTCATGATCCTCCTGCCTCAACCTCCCAAGCCACTGGGATTACAGGCCACTGTGCCCAGTTCCAATATGATTATTTATTTCTATTTTAGGTCTGTTTGATTCCTAGAAAAGTTTACTCTCCCCTGTCACCTTTCACAAATTCTTTTGTCCACTGTCAAAAAAAGCAATTTTCTGGTTTGTACACTTCAATGCACATGAACTTTGCCACCTATTTCTTCCAATAAGGCTCCAGTTCTTTGGATCTGAAAAAAGCCTTATGTTTTTTCCACTGTTGCATCCCAGATGTTATTCTGCAACAAGGACTTCAAAATGCCTGTATTACCTGAGCTTCTGTTGGTGCTTCTGAGCAGCTGTATTAAGTGTCCTCCCGGCTGCCTTGGAAGCCTAGAAGACAGAAATAGGTATGGAGTAAACAGAAGCCTGACCTCTGATCTTACACAGGGTCATCATGTAAGGTATTTCCAAACCAACAAAAAAACATTAAAGTCCACAATGAGTCCTCGCCTCATCCTCTTCTCAAAGGTAACAGCATATTTATCCAGATTGGCCAAGCAGTTGAAGAAAGAAAAAGTCATCCCTTAAGCTCTAATTTGTAAAAAGACATCCCTGAAAGTTTCCATGTGCCAAATTTCACTTCTTTTACTTAACATCATATTCTTTTTTAAAAAGATGGATTAATCAGTGTGATTTTTTAAGACCTTTATTTTATTCATTTGTTTTTTAAAAAAATCCCATTTTTTAAATATCTTTATTTATTTATTTACTTTTATGTGGTGCTGAGGTTCTAACCCACGGCCTCACATGTGCAAGGCAAGTGCCCTACCACTGAGCTACAGCCCCAGCACTTATTCGTTTGTTTTTATGTGGTGTTGAGGTTCGAACCTAAGGCCTCACACATGCAAGGCAAGTGCTCTACCACTGAGCTACAGCCTCAGCCCTTATTCATTTGTTTTTATGTGGTGCTGAGGATAGAACCCAGTGCCTCACACATTCTAGGCAAGTGTTCTACCACAGCCACAACCCCAGCCCATCATACACTTCATTCTCTGCCCTATTTTCCAAAAGTTAAATTTATTTCCAATCCATATTTCAGTGTAAATGCACAAATAAAAATGGAAGACTTAACACTTTTCCCATGTGAGCAATAGGAAGCAGGGAACTGCACCTTTATTCAGGGCCTATGAATGCACATATATGGAGGTTATTTAAATAAAAAAGGTACCACTAGAGGAAAAAGAATAATTACTTATGTTTCTGGGGCAGAAAAAGAGGTCAAGGGGGAGTCACTCAAGGGGGAAGGCTTATTAACAATTTTTCAGGGTTAAACAAAAATGGGCGTATGGACGTGTGTGTATTAAGTTTTCTGAGGGACAACTTTACCTCAAGCTGAATCAGGTGTGATGGAAACTGAAAATATCAATTTGATCCTCATGTAATTAACAATGGAGAAACAAAATTACCAGTAAACTATCAATATCTGGATCCATATTTGCCAGAAACGTCAAGTGCTAAAGGACAGAGCCTTAACTTCTGAACACAGAGAAAGCAGTACTGGTGAATACTCTGAGAAACTACTGACTGTCCTGTCCAAGTCCCATAGAACACTGCAAGCCTAATCCAAACCGAAGGCAACATTTATCTCTTAAGATTGGCATGATGCAGGCATATATATGCAAAAGGTAGAAAGATAGGAAAACAAGGTGGAAAAGCAAATTCCCAATCCCACAAATTACACTGTGGGCACAAGACATGCATCCCTTCTCCGATGATATTTCGGTAACTTAACAGGTAGTTAGCCTTCTTCTTCGTTCCTAGCAGAAATGAGGGTCGCATCTTCACTCCCAGAATGATCCTTGTTCTCTATAACTAAAACAGTGAAGAAACCCTGCCTTTAGGTCACTAAGGGATTACCAAACATAAGCTAATGAACGGAATGAAAGAGGCAAAAGTTCTGGGGGGAAAACAACATAAAGCCAAGTGTCCGCACCAGATTCTCATAAGGCAAAACACATTTCAGAATCTGAAATCTCAGCCTCTGGAGGGGTTTAATGAGACTTTCTCAAGGGGAAGACACAGCTTGTGACCCCAACTGAGCTAATGGGCAAGCGGAAACGATCCGGAGAGTTGCCAAAAGAGCCCGGGATGAAGAACCTCCTCACTCTTGGGTCGGAATCAAGAGATTGGACTCTGCAAGAGACCCGAATTCGCTGAGGGCAAGAAGTGCGAGGAACAGAAAGGGAAAAGCTTGGAAGAGACTAGGGGTTACGGCTTCCCGTAATCCTGCAATTCTTTCTCCAACAGGGTAGGGTCCGAAACCGGCAATTCTGCGTTTTAGAGAGTAGGGGGTCGGCCTTCAAGTCACCGGCCAGGATCGAGGCCCCGTAGGCGACGCTTCCTTGTTTGAAGGCCCCTTCGCGACCCAGGACTCGGACACCCCGGCCCGTGGAGACACGGCAGCAGGGACTGACGCCTCCTTCGGGGTGGGCAGGGGAGAAGCGTACGGGAGTTGGGCGCGGCCTCTTTTGCTCCCTCTGTCCGCGGTTTTCAGGCCCTGGCCCGGTGGGGCAACGGGCTCCAGGGGCCACTTCCCCCGCAGCTCCGAGCCCAGGCCGTTTAGTCTCAGCCAGGCCGGCCAGGCGGCCACCGCTCCTGGCGACACTCACCGGCCCATCTCACAGCGCTCCCCGGGCTCCTCCTGCTTGTCCCGGAGCCGCCGCAAACGCGGCCTCCGCCATCCCCGGCCCCGGAGCCGCCCCACACCCAGCACCCCCCAGCCGGGCGCCCGGAGATGGCGTCAAGTGCGTCCCGCCCCCGGCGTGGAAAGATTGCGTCATGGCCCGGGCCGAGGAGCGGCGCCCCGGACTACCCGGGCGGGGAGGGGACTGGCCGCCCTCCCCTCGCGTCCAGCGCCCCGTCTGGTGGGAAAACGCACTCCTCTCAATGAGGATGGGTCACGTGAACAGGGCTGGGCACCCTGACCCTACAATGACCCCTCCTTTCATCTCTAGTAAATTCTGGGGGGTTCCCGAACCGAACCCTGGAGTGTGACGGTCGGAGACCTCCAGTGCCCAGATTTCTGGTCCTGACACGTGAAGCCGGCCCTCCGGGAAACTCCGAAAATCCCTAGGTGACCCAAGGCCCAGGATTGTAAGGAGATCCCTCCTGGGGGCAGGATCAAGATAGGAACTCTGAAAACGTTGGAAAATGTGCCTGAGTCAGATAGGAGATGGACTGGAGCCAGGATCTAGGGGAAGGTGAAGCAAGTATGATAGACCTGAAAGTTTGTCGGGAATAAAAGGAAAGGGAAGACTGCTTGATTAGTGGATGAATATTAGGTTACCCACTCATTCCAGATTAACTTGTCGACTTCGCAGTCCCAGCGACATCTGATTAACTTAAAAACGAACAGTAAAATTTGTCTTTTGGGGGGGCGGGATACTAGGGATTGAACTCAGAACCCTCTACATGCTAGGCAAGTTCTCCAGCACTGACCTACATGCCCAGCCCTTTTTATTCTGAGACAGGGTCTTACTAAATTGCTAACGCTGGCTTAGAGTTTATGATCCTCCTGCCTCAGCATCCTGAGCCGCTGGGATTACTGGCATGTCCCCAAACGCTACAACTACATTTTTTTAAAGTAGTTAAGCACATTTTGTAAAACAAACAAGAAAAAAAAAAGTTGGAGTATTGGATTTTTCCCCCCTTTAAGTTTTGGCAAACTCTTCAATAACAATAGATTTTTGCTTAATTTTTTTTAAAAAAGCACTAGCTGAAGCTGGGTGCGGTGATGCATGCCTGTAATCCCAGCGGCTCCAGAGGCTGAGGCAGGAGAATCACAACTTCGAAGCCAGCCTCTGCAAGGGCAGGCGCTAAGCAACCCAGTGAGACAGTGTATCTAAATAACATACAAAATAAGGCTGGGGATTCACTCAGTGGTCCAGTGCCTCTAGGTGCAATCCCTGCTCCCCCACACGGGGCTGGGATTGTGGCTTAGTGGTAGAGTGCTGGCCTTGCAATGCATGAGGATTCGATCCTCAGCACCACATAAATGTAAAATAAATACATTGTGTTCACCTAAAACTAAAAAATAAATTATTAAAAAAAAAAAGCTTCGCTAATTTAGCGATGTCCTAAGAACTTAGTAGGATCCTGTCTCAAAAAAAAAAAAAAAATTAAAATGGGGCTGGGAATGCTGGTTTCAATCCCTGGTTTAAAAAAAAAAAAAAAAAAAAGTATTAGCTAAACCGGATATGGTGGCAATTTGGGAGCCTGAGACAGTAGGATTGCAAGTTCCAAGTCAGTCAGTCTAGGCAATTTAGTGAGATCCTGTCTCAAAGTAAAAAATGCCTGGGGTGTAACACAGAGGTGAAGTGTTTGCCTAGCAGCTCCTGAGTCCCAGGATTTGATTCCCAGGATTTGATCCCCAGCTCTGCAAAAAAGAAAGGAAGGGGGGCAAAAAGTACCGTCTGAAGACAAGTATTGGCTGGTCTCTGATCCCTAAGATGCAGCTGTCTGACCTTAGGAAAGTAATTTTAGCACTTTAGGTCCGTGTTTCTACTACTCAAATGAGTGGGATGAAATAGAAGAACTCTTCAGACATTTTGCTACATGAAAAAAATAAGCAAGTATACACAGTATGATATTGCATTTAATGTTAAAAGATACAACATCTTATACAACGCTTATATTCATGTACCTGTACAGGAAAAAGGATACATAACTAGTAAATATTGATTATCTTTGGGGATAAAAGTAGAATTGGACGTTTCGCCGTAATGCCAGCGGCTAGAGAGGATGAGGCAGGAGGATCGGGAGTTCAAAGCGAGGTACTAAGCAACTCAGTGAGACTCTTTTGTCTCAATAAAATACAAATTAGGGTTGGGGATGTGGCTCAGTGATTGAGTGCCTCCGAGTTCAATCCCTGGTACCCACCCCACAACCCCGCCAAAAAAAAAAAAGTAACTTATATTACTGCTTGAATTTTTATGAGAATGTTATCTTGGAAATATAAAAATTGGGCTGAGGGTGTAGCTAAGTGGTAGAATACATGACAAGCATGCACACAGACCATGGGTTCAATCCCCAGCACTACAAAAAATAATAAGTAAAAATACAAATACAGTTTGATTTGTAAGTTTCTTTCTAGGGAATTCTTAGACATTAATTTTGATATTTTCTCATATGGGTGGACACAAAGAATCTTCAAATTTATGAAGCAGCACACACACACACAACCACTGGGTAAAACAGCAAGGCTACCACGGTCATCTCAGTCAGCAGAGGGCTTTGTTTTATGAATATTAATATTATTTATGGCAGTCTCTTTCTCAGTTTGGCCAAGAAGGAAGTCCTGTGGTCACTCAGTGAACCCATTCTAGCTCTAACTGGCATCCTGGTTTCTAGTTCATTGCTTAGCTCACTAAACTGACATTAAAACTGCCAAGATAGAAACCCTCCAACAATTCAGGTGTATTCAAGGACAGCCATCTTCTCCTAGATCAACATACACACTCAGAGAGCTGGTTTTTGTACAAATTAAAAGAGCAGGCACAGGTAGATTCAAACAAAAAAAGTTTTTTGGCTACCAGCCATTAACACAATGATGTAATGCCAAGGCATGTCTGTTTTAAAAACAGGACATTCTGATTGGTGAAACACAATTGATTTCCTGTTTTGGTGTGCCAGTCCCTAAAGGGTGGGTCTCATCTCTGCTGTCTGTATCCTATTCCAGAACTCTTCCAGCAATCCTCATTTGTTTGGTGGTACATCTTGACGGTAGGAACTTCTATAGGAACAGTTTAACAGGAATATTAATGATAAGTAAACTAATACAGTTTATTTTTTATTTTATTTGGGGGGGGAGTATTGGGGATTGAACTCAGGGGAACTAACCATTGAGCAACATCACCAGCCTTATTTTGTAGTTTATTTAGAGACAGGGTCTTACTGACTTGCTTAGCACCCTCACACATTACTGAGACTAGCTTTGAACTCACGATCCTCCTGCCTTAGTCTCCCAAGCCGCTGGGATTACAGGCGTGTGCCACTGTGCCCGGCTAGAATTTTGTTTTATCCACTTTCCATTCCCTGGATGCCTATCGAATTCCTTTGTTGTGTGCAGACAGAATTTTTGTGATGGGAGAGCTTGATTTTCTCTAGTGGAAGGAAAACAACAGCAATAGCAAAATCTTGCTATGCTGGTTATTCTTCTTCCTAAGCAGGTAGGAGAGCTGCCTAATTCCTCACTGATGATTTTTCTAGAACTGTAATAAAGAGTAAGCACAGACAACTATCCCAACTTGATCTGACATCAAATGAGAGAAGAGTGCTGTAACTTGTGAAAATGTGTGTCATCACAAAAGTAGGTGGCTTAGGTCACCTTTCTCATACTGTCTTACCTCCCTGCATGTATGCTTCAGCATGTAAAGTGGTATTTAAGGAAAGGAACTTCCATCCTTTTCTGCCAAAGACAAAAAAAAAAAAAAAAAAACTAATCCCAAGCATACATTGAAATCATAAAACACTTAGTGGGTTTAGCTTTCCCAAAAATGTATTGATGCCTGGTATTTGATTATGTTTCAAAACCTTTTCTAAATGTCCAATTGAAATATTCAATTTTCAAGTTTCTGTCTTTTCTACTTCTCTAATTCTGTGTCCTTGTTTCCACATGCGTTTAATGTTAGTGACCTCTCCAATTCCATGGAGGAATTCCCTTACAAGTTCATGAATGTTTTATTTAAAGGAGGCCTTATACTTTATTCCTTTGTGGACTGATATGTCCTTTGCAGGGAATGGGAAGTGTCTCCCTCTCTGGTCTACTTTCCTCAGACATTTGCCAAAGACTTCTATTTTTGTTAAAAACTCCTTGCAGAATTCTAAAAGGTGGTTGTAAAAACAATTTGAATAAGTTGAAGGAAACCTAACCCTTATTTGAATTACACAAGTCATTTTGAGGAAAGGTCCACAGAGAAGCAAGTACATTCAGGCCATTGCTGAGCTACCAGAAATTTCTTATGTGGGTATTATTGAAGTGGGTGCCAGAAAACTGGAATGAGTCCCTCATAATACTCATAACTTTCTCTTTCTTTTGGAAGCTTGCTCATTGAGGTGGCTTGTGAACTGCTTCCTCTTGTGGTGAAATAATGTTCAGCTCTACCTTCAAAGCTGATCGCCTCCGGGTTAACTTGCATCTGGTTATCAATCGCTTAAAACTCCTGAAAAAAAAGAAAAGTAAGTAAACACTCAAGGCAACACCGCATGCGGGCTCTTAGATCCTGGTGAAACCCTCAAGTTGATTTATTTTCTAAGATCTCATTTAGCAGTTTGGGGATTTAAAGGAGAGTTTCTGACTACTGGAAATGTGATCGTGTTTACTATGGTGATCAATATATTTAAAAAGTTTCTAGGGCTGGGGCTATAGCTCAGTGACAGCACTTACTTCGTACACATGAGGCATTGGGTTCGATCTTCAGTACCACATAAAAATAAAAATAAAACAAAATAAATGTATTAAAAATAAGTTTTTGAACACATTCTGTATCTTGACTATATCAACACCAATATCCAGGTTAGTAGTGAACTACACTTTTACAAGATGTTACCCTTGGGGAAACCTGAGTACAAGGGTACCCTAGGTGTCTCCGAATTATTTCTTACAATGTGTGAATTATTTTTAAAAGTTTCCACAGGTTTAAAAAGTAAAAAGATATCTCCAAGTTTCTGGCAGGTTGCCACCAAGACAGAGACATTTAATTAGTCTTTTTTTTTAGTTGTTGATGGACCTTTATTTAATCTATTTGCTTTCATATATGGTGTTGAGAATTGAACCCCGAGCCTCATACATGCTAGGCAAGTGCGATACCACTGAGCTGCAACCCCAACCCAACAATTTCCACTCCTTTTTCTTTTGTGGTGTTGGGGATCAGAACCCAGGGTCTTATGCATGTAGAGGCAAGCACTCTACCAACTGAGCTATATCCCCAGCCCTCTTTAATCATTCTTTTTAAAAGTAGAGTAGCCATTAAGTTTGATCCCTCTGGGCAAATTTTTCTGGAAAGGCTTCTTTATCTTTTTTCAAACACACAAAAAATGCTGTTCCTTCTCCCAGTTGACAGACCCAAGTAGTGCTATACCCAGAAGCAGGGATGATGTAAACAAGTTCTATCTTCTTTCTTAAAGTCTAACTGATTTTTTTTCTTTTCCCCACTATTTCTTTATTCCCATGGGTTACATGAGCCATTACTCCTCAACTAACTGAAAAACTGACACCTGTCAATTATAAGAAGTGTTCACATGAAATAAGTATTGTACATAATGCAGTTCTCTGAGTGCTTAGTAAATAGTTATATTAAAATACCATTATGTATTAGTGGGAAGGTAGCTGTTACTCAAACTTCCAATTTGATTTTTGAGCATTCTCTAACAAGATCTTGCAAGTGTTTGGGGGCACAATTTTGGTAACAGAGTCCTAGGAAATTATCCAAAACAAATTATGGCAAACCCAGTGGTACCCATTATTTTGAATAGTGAGGATGACAATGATGGTGTGCACAGCACTTATAATTTCCAAAAGCATGAATTTGTGTTCTTTTATTTGACCCTAACAATCCAGTGATGCATATTATTGCTCAGATATAAATATTTATCTTCTTTTTGCAAATGAATAAATTTAAATATGGAGCACAAGAGTGAGTTGAGATAAGTTAGAACAAATTAGCCCTGTCTTACCTAAATTTATTCCTTCTTGAAATGAGACAAAAATCATGACATTCTATATCTCTCCAGGGTTCTTTGTGTATCACAGAATATTATGAAGGCACACAATAAATTTTTTGCTGAGGGCTGGGGTTGTAGCTCAGTGATAGAACTCTTGCCTAGCCTCATAATGCACTCAGTACCACATAAAAACAAATAAATAAAATAAAGGTATTGTGTCCATCTATAACTAAAAAAATTTTTTTTGCTGGTATTAGAGTTGGTTTAACATCATTTGTAGGAAACAAGTCCAATTCTGTTATGATTTTTTCCCCTGAGATGTCTAAAGAAAACATTTGTCTACTTTGGACTTGGCTATTTCCTTTCCAAGCACTGAGCTTTGTGTTTATTTCAGATTCAATGTGGTTTATGTCAACATGTTTTGCAGTGAGAGCAACTCTATCTAATCATGATTTGATGGTGAGCATCATCTTTAGGGTATGGCAGACGGAGTATATAATTCGGAGACTTGGAGATTTTCTTGGCTTTGTGGAAATGCTTTCTTGAAACTCAGTTATCAGTTGATAACACAAGATAGTGAGTAAGCCTTTATTGCCCCCAGTAGATTGGCCTGGGACAGGTTACATTTGTTACCTTTCCAAAACAACCTCTTGTTCATCCTGTGAAATAATGTAAAAAGCATAGCAATTTGCACACTGAAGATTTGGCCTTGAGTTCCAGTTGAACTAACTATTCCTAATCACTTGACCATGGGCAAGCCATGTAACCCCTCAGAGTCTCAATTTTCTCAACTTTAAAATTCAAATAACAATGCAAATCTCACACAGGTGTTACTGGGATCAAATAGAAATGTTTATATGAAAACATTTCCAAATGTAAAACACCACATGCATTTGGGGATGAGGGTGGTTAAGTAAGTGCTTTACTACTGAGCAGCACTCCTAACCCCCATTCTCCTTTTAAAAATAACTAATCTTTTTATTACAAAAATTATAAATTTTCACTTTGGAATATTTTATAAAATAAAGGTAACCTAAGAGGAGAAAATAAAGGCCACCTATCAAGTCACAGCATAAAGTGGGGTTCTCAACCTTTTAACAGTTGTCAGAATCCCATGGAGGGCTTATTACAACTCTAATTCCGGAGTTTTGAGTCAGCATTTCTGGGGTGGGGCCCAATAATTTGCATTTCTGACAAGCTCCCAGGTGATGCAAATGCTGTTGATCTGGGAGTGGGATTTTGAAGACCCTCCACATCTAGTTTGAAACACATAATTTACCACCTGCATTTGTTTTTATGAAACCATTGTTTTACTCTATTGTGTAAAATTCTTTTTTTATTCTTTTTACAGATTCATTTTTTTTTTTCCTTTGTGGTGCTAGGGATCAATCCAGGGCCTCTCACATGCTGGTAGACATTTTACCACTAAGTGACATCCCCAGCCACACTTTTTTTTTTTTTTTTTTTTTTGGTATCGGGGATCGAACTCAGGGGCACTTGACCACTGAGCCATATCCCCAGCCCTATTTTGTATTTTATTTAGAGACAGGGTCTCACTGAGTTGCTTAGTGCCTGCCTTGCATTGCTGAGGCTTGCTTTGAACTTGCAATTCTCCTGTCTCAGCCCCCAGAGCCCTAGGATTACAGGAGTGCGCCACTGTGCCTGTCACACATTCATTTTTCTATATGTGCTTCATGCTGCAGTTGAACAGACTCAGAGAGCAAGGAAGGAGGTTGCAGACCACATGGCCACTGGGAAGGATGAGAGAGCCCGGATCCGTGTGGAGCACATTATCCAGGAAGACTACCTTGTGGAGGCCCTAGAGGTTCTGGAACTGTACTGTGACCTGCTACTGGCTCGGTTTAGCTTGATTCAGGCCACAAAGTGAGTGCATCATTTCATAGACTCAAAAGAGTGACATGACAAGCCATTCTTTGTACTTGGTAAGGGAGAGTGTGGATTCTAGCTTGTTGGGACCATTGAAGAACTCTGTCTCTGTCTCTCTCTCTCTCTCTCTCTTTTTGTACTGGGGATTGGACCCAGGGTGCTTAACCATTGAGCCTGTCACATCCCCAGCCCTTTTTATGTTTTATTTTGAGACAGGGTCTTGCTAAGTTGTTGAGGCTGACCTGGAACTTGTGATCCTTTTGCCTCAGCCTTCTAGTCACTGGGATTATAGGTGCACCACCACACCTGGCTGTCTCTAACTTTCACAGGAAGAACTACCTCTGCTCGATGAGAAGAAGATATTTTAGTCCAAAGAGCCATTAAAAAAAAAAAAACACAAATAGTTATGTTTTTCCTCTGAGCTGTAAAGGTATAATGTAAAGTTATGATAGAGTCAGAAAATATAATCAGAAAAAAATCCATAATCATTAAATCTGGAGATAAGAATTTTACTATCTCCTTTCAGTCTATATAAGTATCTCTGAGTAACTGTGCATATAAACATACGTGTATGTATATGTATATATATGGTTATATTCCAATTTCAGTTAAAAATTTTTTAGCATTTACCATAGACTACCTTTGTAGTATTTTACATGTGCATACAAATTCTGCCATATTGTTCAGTAGCACTCATGTACAATTCTTAAATCTTTCACTGAAAATGAAAAACCCATCTGTCATCTGTTCACAGTAAAAACGGATTGTTTTCCAAAGTTGGCTGCTTTAGTTAAGATAGGAAGTGAAGTTTGAAAGATGGTCTTTCCATTTTACAAATTCATTAAATAAAGACCAGTCAAGAAATACAGTAGGATCTAAGAAAACAAGGTGGTCTAGAAGCTGGATTGTTACAAAAAAGGCAAAGAACATTTATATACAATAAGTTTTATGTCCTTCTACTGATGGGTATCAAAGGTCTTTATTGAAGGACTAGGGATATACATGAGTGATAGAGAGCTTGCCTAGCATGTACAAGGCCCTCGATTTAATTCCCAGGGGTTTAAAAAAGAAGTTCTTTTAATTTTCTAATCGATCTATGAAAATATAAAAATTGTACATATTTATGAGGTACTTTGTGATGTTTTGATAGTATATACAACTATATCTATAACTTCAAACAGTTACTATTTCTTGCTTTCATTCTTTTTTACCCAGGGGCATTCCACTACTAAGCTACAACCTCAACCCTATTTTTTATTTTGAGACAGGATCTCACTAAATTTCTGAGGTCAGCCTCAAACTTAAGATCCTCCTGCCTCAGCCTCTTGAGTAGGGGAAATTACAGGTATGTGTCACTGCACCTGGCCACTTACCATTTATTTTTTAAAATATTTTTAGTTGTAGATGAACATAATACCTTTATTTAATTTATATATGTAGTGCTAAGGATCAAACCAAGTGCCTCACACATGCTAGGCAAGCACTCTACCACTGAGCCACAACCCCAGCCCTACCATTTCTTTAGAGTGAAAACATTCAAAATTCTGTCTTCTAGATTTTTGAAATATATAGTACATACTGTTATCTATAGTTACTGTACTATGCAGCAGCATATCAGGACTTCTTTTTAATTTTTTTATTGTTGTAGATAGACACGATACCTTTACTTATTTATTTTTTTAATGTGGTGCTGAGAATTGAACCCTGTGCCTCACACACATCAGGCAAGTACTCTACCACTGAGCCGCAACCCCAGCCCCACGTCAGAACTTCTTACTCCTATGTAACTATCACTTAGTACACATTGGTCCACTTTTCCCCAACCCTCCCTCCTTCCTACTCTTCCCAGCCTCTGGTAACCACCTTTCCACTCTCATGCGATCAACTTTTTTAGATTTCATATGAGTGAAATCTTGGGTTGCTTTGGTTTTTCTCCCTAAATTCCTACATTTGTTGCAGAAAATCATATGCTCTGAACCATCTTTAAAAGCCTCAGCAATCTGGGCTCAGTAGCTCATGTCTGTAATCAGAGACTCAGAAAGCTGAGGCAGGATGATCACCAAGTTCAATGAACAGCCAGGACAATTTAGAGAGATCCTGTCTCAAAATAAAATTTAAGAAGAGCTGGAATCTGGGTATAGTGGCACACACTGTAATCCCAGCTGTTTTGGGAGTCTGAGGCTGACACTGAAGTTGAGGATTCCAAGTTTGAGATCAGCTCTACAACTTAGTGAAAACCCTATTTCATAAAATAAAAGTCTGGGATGTAGCTCAGTGGCAGGGCACTTGCCTTGAGTATCCAAAACCTAGTACCACCAAAAAACTGAACAAACAAACAAACAAAAAACCCCAAAGGCCTCAGCAATTCTAAATGCCATTTGTTGCTCTTGCAAGATGACATGTGGATCATCCCTGGGTCAGAGGCTTGCATAATTGCAAGTTTCATAATCTCATGATCTTAAAGTCAAATGGGATTTCATTCTTCTTTTGATCCAATGTGTTCTGTACTGTATCTTTTTTTCCCCTGTGCTTGGGATTGAACCCAGGAGTGCTTTACTCCAGAGCTACATTACCAGCCCTTTTAATTTTTTATTTTGAGACAGGGTCTTGCTAAATTGCTGAGGCCATCCCCAAATTTATGATCCTCCTGCCTCCCCCTGTCAAGTTGCTGGGACTACAGGCATGTGCTATCATGCCCGGTAGTGTTGTAACTTTTCAAAAACACTCCTTTACTTTATCTGAATCTTTTAGTCAATGGGGATTTTCTCTTGCAAGTATGCAAGTAGGAAAGAGACTCTCTCTGAAGTTAGGTTTCAAAGCTTTGGAAAGAGTGACTCTAAGGCATCCCTTTCCTGAGCCCAGGTATCATTGGGAAACATGGTTGGTGTGATCATCTGGAGTAGCAACCACAAATCAGCTGCCCATTAGTCAGGCAAAAAATGTTGAAAGGCCACCCCACGTGCCCTTTGCACACTAGCATTTTGGGAGAGATTTTGATCTTGTTATATTTTTCCATAGTACCCTTCAGGGAGTAATTAACCCAAGAGTCAAGAGACCTTGACCTTGACTCCAATAGCTGATGTTTCTTTAAGAAACCCAGGACATTTGAATGGAGATGGTCTCTGCAACAAATCCTGCACAATCCCCTATAAGATACCTTCTGAGCATATTTTGCATAAATTGTGCAAGTGAAGTAATTTCTGTAATGTTTGAGAATCATCAAATAGACTATAGCAAATTGGGCACATAGGAACTTCTTCTAGCAGCTCCATTATATATACTTTGTTCCCTACTAGCAGGTGTATTCAGCAGTGTTACTACCTTTCAGGGCAAAATAATCATGCTATCTCCAAATCTTGAGATAAGAATTGAGATATCTTGGTGTGGGGATGTAGCTCAGTAGTAGAGTGCTTGTCTAGCATGCACAATCCCCAACACTGCCACACACACATACACACACACAAAAAAATTGTGATATCTTTCCTTTTGTCTACATAAATATATGTATATGTTACTTTATGTATAAACATACCCGTGTGTGTATTTACATATATATTTACATATAGGTTTATATTCCAATTTTAGTTTTAAAAAATAATTTATTTACCATCATATTGTGAACATTAGAAGTAGGAAAAAGAGGAAAACAGGAAGCTCTGAGTTTTACAATTTTGTGATTTCCTTAGGGAACTAGATTCTGGTCTGGCTGAATACATATCTACACTAATCTGGGCAGCTCCCAGACTGCAGTCAGAAGTACCTGAGCTGAAAACAGTAAGTTTGACCAGTTTCAGTTACCTGTGTCATGATTATAGGTTTGAGTATCACTGTTGTCACTTGTTTGAATTGTGGGATTATTTGGAAAATCCTTTCTTCTCTTAAGGGATGACCAAAAAAAAAAAGAGAGAGATTTTTTTCTTAATCTTTAAATGAAAAGCAAATGCTTGAAGAATGGTAGAATGGTAGAAGAAAATGTACAGGCCTTAAGTAAATCAAAATTAACTTAAAAGTGGATTTCTTGCTGGGCACGGTGGTGCATGCCTGTAATCTCAGTGGCTGGGGAGGCTGAGGCAGGAGGATCACGAGTTCAAAGCCAGTCTGAGCAAAAGCAAGGCACTAAGCAACTCGGTGAGACCCTGTCTCTCAATAAAATACAAAATAGGGCTGGGGATGTGGCACAGTAGTTGAGAGCCCCTGAGTTCAATCCCCGATATCCACACATGCACACAAAAAAAGTGGGTTTCTTTTGGGGAGGAGGGTTATACTTGATGAATGTTTAGAATTAGTGGTTTTAACTTTTACATTTATCAGCCTACTTAAAAACAAAGCATTTGTTATTGTTGTTTTGATGCTTAAAGAACATAATTCCAAAAGGTAACATGGAAGTGATTTTTGCTTTCTTAGATTGTTCTTTATCTCAAGCAAATTTTCCATAACTTCATGAACTTTGCCTTTCTTTCTTGGTATTGGTATTCTGCAGGTATCTAATCAGCTGTGTGCAAAATACAGCCAAAAGTATGGTCAACTCTGTCAAACAAATGAAATTGGAACTGTCAACTCTCAGGTAGTATCATTTCTAGAGATGCACACTTTTCTATTGTCTTATTTATTTATTTATTCATTGCTACTGGGAATTGAACCCAGAGGTGTTTAACAATGGAACCATATCCCCAGCCCTTTTTATTTTTATTCTGAGATAGGATCTCGCCAAGTTTTGGAGGCTGGTCTTGAATTTGGAATCCTTCTAACTTAGCCTCCTAAATCACTGGGATTACAAGCATGTACCACTGCACCCAGTCAGAGACACACACTTCTCTAATCCCAGGAATCTAAGGAAACTGAGAAAACTCAAAAGCATGTAATTTTGTGCAGACTAAAAGATGTAGACAAATGAATTTTGCTTTAGAGGCATAACAATTTGGGTAAGTCTTAAGACTAGAGAATTAAAATCAGATCTTTATTTAAAAAGAAAAAAGCTAACACCAAAAAACATGAATTGATTTCTTTTTTAAGAAAGCATACATTTTCCTATGTGTAACTGGCCTACCAATTGGAAGGAAGCTAATGAAAATTAGAAATTTCAACTTTTAAGCAGATGATCACATATAAGTAATTAAAGACTGACATTTCAGCTGGATTACAGAGATCTGGCCACTACATTTGTTTCAGGCTGGTGGATATTTTCATTATTCAGAGTGTCTATTATTGGTTGTTAAATATATTCATTTATCACCCCTAATAAAGTTCAAATACTTATCATAGAATCAGAATTCTTGATTTTTTTTTTTTGATACCAGGAATTGAATCTAGGGACAGTTAATCACTGAGCTACAAACCAACCCTTTTTATTTTTTTAAATTTTGAAACAGGGTCTCTCTAAGTTGCTTAGGACCTCACTAAATTGCTGAGGCTTGCTTCAAATTTGTAATCCTCTTGCCTCAGCCTCCCAAGTTGCTGTGATTACAGATGTGTGCCACCACGCCCAGCTCAAATATTTTTTTTCTTAGGTTTACTTTCTTCCTCTTAACTTTGTTTGGTTTGACATTCCTTAACTCTAAGATAGCACTGTCCTATAATACATTCACAAGTTGGACCCCTTCTTGGGGCTACATTATACATCTTAAAAAATATACCTCTTAGGGTTGGGACTGTGGCTCAGTGGCAGAGCACTTGCCTAGCATCTATGAGGCACTGGGTTCAATCCTTAGTACTACATAAAAATAAACAAATAAAATAAAGACATTCTGTCCATCTACAACTACAAAAAAAATTTTAAAAATTATACCTCTTAGACAACAGAATAGAAAGATGGGGAAAAAAGTGATTTGGAGTTTAAAGACCACCTAATCTCTTTGTTTTGTATTTTATAAGTTTGGGTGTAAGTAAATTTGTTGTGCTTTTTATTTTGCAGCTAATGTGTAAATTAAATGTGAACACTCTACCCCAGGTTCTAGTGGAACAGTACCTGGTAGAAATTGCTAAGAACTATAATGTGCCCTATACATCCAAGACAAGCGTTATGGTGAGTACTTTCAAAAAGGGAAAAATACAGGCTGGGGATATGGCTCAAGCGGTAGCTCTCTCTCCTGGCATGCGTGCAGCACGGGTTCGATCCTCAGCACCACATACAAACAACGAACTTGTGTCCGCCGAAAAAACTAAAAAATAAATATTAAAATTCTCTCTCTCTCTCTCCCTCTCTTTAAAAAAGGGAAAAGTAGCCGGGCATGGTAGGACATACCTGTAATAATAGCAGTTTGGGAGGCTGAGGTAGGAAGACAGCAAGTTCAAAGCCAGTGTTAGCAACTTAGCGAGGCCCTCAGCAATTTAGCAAGACCCTGTCTCAAAATATAAAATAGAAAGGGCTGGAGATGTAAAGCATCCCTGGTTCAATCCCCATTATAAAAAAAAAAAAAAAGGAAAATTGGGGGCTGGGGATTAGTTGAATGGTACAGTGCTTGTCTGGAGTGTACAAGACCCTGGGCTTAATCCTGAGCCTAGGAGACAGAGACAGAAACAGGGACAGACAGAAAGAGAAAAGATTTGAGGTTGAGATTTTTATTGTGCTTCAGAAGAGTTTTTTCTACTTATAGAGATGTGGTTTCCAGAGTTACTGGAAAAATTGTAAAGCAGGTAAAATTTGAACTTTTTCTGTGCCCACATATCATTCCTAATAGACCCATATATATTGATATATATTGTTAACAACAGAAGAGAAAACAAAAATCAAGGTACTTAAGGTGTTAGATCAAGGAGTATGTCAAACATTTCTTAGTTCTTAAGATCACAACTTTGTCCTGGACATATTTTGCGGTTTTTACTTTTTGGTGGTACTGGGGATTGAACCCAGGGGTGTTGTACCACTGAGCTACAACCCCTTTTTAAAAACTTTTTATTTGGAATTTCCTGTTTCGTGTGGTAATCTCAAAGTGAGATCTGAAGTGCTGAAGATTGTTGGTGTGGTAATGGGGCTCTCCATGCTTTTTGTGTTCACTTATGGTTTCTTTTTTTTGCAGTTGTAGAAGGACAAAATGCCTTTATTTTATTTGTTTATTTTTATGTAGTGCTAAGGATTGAACCCAGTGCCTCACAGATGCTAGGCAAGTGCTCTGCCACTGAGCTATAGCCCTGCCCCCATTCATAGTTTTGAGGATGTGGCTATAACCTGTAGTGAATACTGGCTGCAGGTCAGAATTAAACAAAGGCCTTATTTGAACTACCAGCAATTCTAGGTATATGACCTATATCCGGGAACTGATTGTACTGTAACTGGAAGACTTGGATTTCTTTGAGTTCCTTTATCCTCTCTCTTCTTATGGGATCAAAGCTGAAGTGCGCCCATGGGGTATTCTCATTGAAAGTTCAAACACTTATGAATCAGTAAATACAGATATCATTGGTTGCTTACCAATATTATACTATATTCAAAGAAAGTTTACAATCTCTTATGGGAAAAAAAGTAAAAAGGAGTAATAGTCATGAATCCAAAATATCAATGGGAAAGAAATACTCAAGTTTGCATAATGTGAAAATTTCAGGGACACATCTAGGAGTGACAGATTGGGATAGTGGATCATATACATTTTATCCCTCCTTATTTAAGTATAGGAATGAAGCTATAAATTCTAAATGGGGAGATCGCTTTACCAATCCTGGTACTTTGGCTGCCTGAGAATTGCAGTGCCTATTGGAGATTGGACTAAATGCCTATGGATATTTAAAAATTATTGTTTTAAATTAAGAACTTTCTTTGCAGTCCACATTTAAGTACTGTTCTTGTGGTGGAGAAAATTCTTTAGATTTTTAAATTTGTAGTGAAGGCATTTTTAAAAATAAAGTTTTGCAATTCTTTAAAAAAATAAAAAAAAAAACCTTTATTTTGAGACAGAGTCTCACTAAATTGCCTGGGCTGGCCTCCAACTTGCAATCCTCCTGCCTCAGCCTCCTGGATCGCTAGAATTACAGGCGAGTTCCACCATGCTGGGCTCATATTTTACATTTTAATAAAAGGTCCTGGAATAAAGGCTACAAGATGCAAAGGAACACAGCAGTATCATGTAGTCTTAAGAGTGTTATTTCAGTAGTGAAATGTGCCATTTTCACATCCTAGGTCCACTATCTATTAACCATGAGACCTCAGGCAACTCTCAAAGACTCAGTTCTTTGGACTATAGAAAGGAGGATAATAATAGTTCCCATCTCATAGATTTGTTGAGGTGATTAAATGGGCCCATACAAATAAAGAAGTTAAATGGAATGTAAAACCTAGCACATAATAAATATAATCAAGTTAGTTGTTTTTGTTCTTTTTTTTTTTTGAGATGGAGTCTGTGATATCCAGGATGGTCTCAAACTCCTGGGCTCAAGGGGACCTCCCAAATGCTGAGATTACAGGCATGCACCACCCCATCTGATTTTCAAGTTTTGCCTTGTATAATCATCATTGTTATGGAGGGTAGACTATCCTCCCTAAGATGGTCATGAACTGTCTTAAGAGGGATTTCTCCCAATGCTTCCAGTGATTGGTTAGGTGGTGTCCTGTGATTTTATAAAAAGATGGTCTCATACTCAGGTGCCAAACTTATGTTAGTGAGGACATGAAGCAACAAAGGGGTCTTGTCTATCCTCTGTGTTCCCACTGCACTGCCTTCAAATTGCTAATGTGGAATGTGCCACATTGTGACTAAGGGGCATATTTATCTTTTCTGATGCTTTGCTGCTGATAGAAACTCTTTAACTCTTCTTTATTTTTTTCTTTCTTGTCCAAAGAATTGTTGTTGAAAAATGGCACGTTGTAAAAATTTAAACAAAGAGAGAGACTTTGAAGAAACAAAAGCCACATGAAATGTCACTAGAGTCTATCTCGGGAGACTGAGGCAAGAGAATCACAAGTTCAAAGCCAGCCTCAGCAATTTAGTGAAGTCCTAAGCAAACCAGTGAAACCCTGTCTCAAAATAAAATATAAAAAAAGGGCTGATGATATTGGTCAGTGGTTAAGCATCCTTGGGTTAAATTTCTAGTACCTCCCCCCCCCAAAAAAAAATCACTAGAGAGGATTTCATCCAACCTTGTGGTTTTTCAATAGAGATTGAGGATCTTTTATTTGAAACACTGGGACCATAAATATTTCACATTTCAGATGTTTTGGAATATTTTCATGTACCTAATGAGATATTTTAAGAATGGGGCCCAAGTCTAACATGAAATTCATTTATGTTTTATGTAAACCTTATACACATAGCTTGAATGTAATTTTATTTTATTTTTAAAGAGTATGCAATATTTTTTATAACTTTTTATTTTACTTATTTATTTTTATGTAGTGCTGAGGATCAAACCCAGGGCCTTTCATGTGCTAGGCGAGTGCTCTACCATTGAGCCATAACATCAACCCCTTGAGTGTAATTTTATACAATATTTTTAGTGTGCCTGTGTTTTGACTGTGACCCATCAAGTGAGGTAAGGTGTGGAATTTTCCACTTATGGTATCATGTTGGTACTTAGAATGTTTTGGTTTGGGGTTTTTTGGATTAGGGATGCTCAATCTGCATCTCTTTAAAAAAATTTTTTGGTAGTTGTTTGGACAGCATGCCTGTATTTTATTTGTTGATTTTTATGTGGTGCTAAGGATGGAACCCATTGCCTCATACAAGCTAGGCAAGTGTGCTCTACCACAGAGCTACAGCCCCAGTCCCTTAATCTGCATCTCTTTTTTTTAATATTTATTTTTTAGTTGTAGTTGAACACAATAATTTTATTTCACTTATTTATTTTTATGTGGTGCTGAGGATCAAACCCAGGATTTCACATGTGCAAGGCAAGAACTCTATCGCTGAGCCACAATCCCTAGCCCCTACATCTCTTTATGGTGGGAATTTCTATATACCATTAGCCAAGACTTCTAGGCTCGTATGAATTCCAGTTCATATATCCATCCACCTACGGTTTTAATATCTGAAATACTTGGATGTTTCAGAAGCATCTCAGACTGAACATGTCCAAAAAGCCTCTTATCCCTCTACCACCCTACTCATTCTACAGTTAATGGTAATTCTATGCTGGGACAAAAAGCTTGATATTTTTTTTGTCTCTTCTTTTTCTAAACCCCCACCCTCCAAGCAATATTCAGAATGTTACCGTTTCTCACCATTTCCACTGCCAGTATTCTGGTCTAATCAGCAATCATCTCCTCCTATTTAGATTATTATAATAGTCTCTTAACTGCGTTTCCTGATACTTAATATGGCATCAAAGATCTTTATATCTAAGTCAGATCAGGTCACTCCTTTGCCTTTGAAGCCCTCCAGTGGATTTTTATTTCACTTAAAATAATATGGAATGTCTTTCTCGTGACTGACAAGGCTGTGTACACCTCCTGTCTCTTGTCTCTCTGGCCTCATTTTCTCTACTCTTCCCTTGTTTACTCTGCCTCAGCCACACTGGCCTCCTTCCTTACATTTCTTCAAACACACAAGGTACTTTCCCACCTCAGGACCTTTGTACTTCCTTCCAGTACTCTGTATTTTTTATACATCTACCTGGTCCCTCCCTACTTGCTTCAAGTCTGTATTTAAATGTTCTCTTCTCTGTGAGATCCTTCCTAGCTACATTCTCTAAAATCTCAACCTCTTCCCTCTGTAGTTCTCTATATTTTTTCTCTAGTATACTTGTTTCTTATCTGACATACTGTGTAACTCACTTAATGATCTTGTTTGTCTCCCCAACCAGAAAGTCACCTCTATGAGGATGGGCACTTTTGTCTGTTTTGTTCACTGTTGCATCCCCAGCAACTATTGCTGGCTTATATTAGGTGGTCAAGAGACTTTGTCAAGTGAACTAGTAAATCCAGAATTTATCATTGCTCAAGTTTAATAAACTTTATTGTAGACATATCTATACATATTTACTTATTACTCTTCTTTGAAAAATATTTTTAGTTGTAGATGGACACAATACCTTTATTTTATTTATTTATTTTTATGTGGTACTGAGGATTGAACCCAGTGCCTCACGCGTACTAGGCAAGTGCTCTGCCACTGAGTCACAATGCCAGACCTACATATTACTCTTATTAAATTTTTTTAAAAATGGACAAAAAGCCTTTATTTTATTTGTTTATTTTTATATGGGGCTAAGGATCAAACCCAGTGCCTAACAAGTGCCCTGCCACTGAGCTACAGCCCCAGCCCTGCATATTACTCTTAATTGGTGTACCACAGTGCCTGACCTCTTTGGTACTCAAAACAAAGTCATTGGAAGAAAGAAGAAGACAGTTAATTACATTCTGCTGTCAAATGTAACAAATTAGAATCAATAAAATAAAACTTAAAAATTAAAAAAAAAAAAGAAGACAGTCGACCAGAAAAACTTAAGTTTTCTTTTAACTGTCACTGACTAGACTATAAGCTTCATACAGGCTGGAACATTGTTGCATTGTGCATTACTTCTTCCCAGTACTTCCAAGAGTGTTTAATATGTAATAAGTATGCAAATAAGTAAGTGTATAATAAATTGCAAACTTGATGGGATTCTTATCCTCTTGTCTAAGGCTGAAGCCTCAGCGGACCTGGTCTTGTTGGATTTACAGAGGATGTCAAGAAAGATGCCCTTGGCAGAGGAGATAGCACTGCAGTGAGAACAGGTGATCCACCTGGGGCTTTGCAGATATCTGCACCAGGGCCCCTACATGTGCCATCCCCAGGCCCTTGTTTCCCGTCCTTTCCTCCTGAAAGACAGGTCAGTACAGATAGGGAAAATGAAATTGAAATGGGACTGCATGGGTGTTAAACTATACTTCTAGCTGGGCCTTTTGGAGAACAAAATGATCTTAAGGCCAGAGAGGTATTTACAATCATTTAGTTGATGTTGGTGTTTTTTTATTCTGAAGTCATGAGTAAAGAAAGCTGTTGTCTCTTATCAACCTCTGGATGATACCACAATATACACTGAAAAGAACACTTTATTTATTTATTTTAGTTGTGAATGGTCACAATATCTTTATTTTTATTTATTTATTTTTATGTGGTGCTAAGGCTCAAACCCAGTGCCTCACACATGCTAGGCAAGTGCTCTACCACTGAGCTACAGCCCCAGCTACCCTGAAAAGAACATTCTTACAAGCTGAACACGTTTGAAAATCCTTCATGTACAGTGATTTAAATTTAGGTCAGATTAGATATATTCAATTCATATATAGTGAAACCAATTTACTTTCATGTTGAAAATAATTTAAAAAAGTGTTCTATATGTGTACTATGAATTGAAATGCATTCTGTTGTCATGTATAAATAAATAAATTTAAAAAAGAGACGCAATAAACTCAAGATATATGAGACTGTTGCCAGCATAACATAGAATATTGTTTTATAGTGAACTTAAACAACAACTTTGCATACGTAAATCTGGAGAGGTCAAATAGGTAAAAACTAAAGAACCATAGACATTACTTTTCTTTATTCTTTATTCATTCAGCAGTATGTAAAGAAAAATGCTTTTATTCTTTTTCACCTTGTAGTCTTTTTTTGTTTGTTTGTTTTGAGTACCGGGGATTGAACTCAGGGACGCTCAGTGGAGCCATATACCCAGCCCTATTTTGTATTTTATTTAGAGACAGGGTCTCATTGAGTTGCTTAGCACCTCACCATTGCTGAGGCTGGCTTTGAACTCACCATCCTCCTGTCCCAGCCTCCCGAGCATGCACCTCAGCGCTGGCGCTTATAGGCATTTTTTACTCCAAAGTTCTTTCTCTAAGATTTTATATTTTAGACATAAACTAACTCTGATTTTCCTTGTTAAAAGTATCTGTCTAAACTACACCTTGTGTATTTTTTATCTTCTACTCTTGGAATATATGTCCTCTGATTTAAAAATAAACAAACTTTATTATGGACAATTTTAAGTATATATAAAATTTGAATAATATAGTCAATTGCCATGTAACCATCATTCATTTTCAACCATTCTTGACATTCTGTTTGTCTTATTTTGTCCCTTTGTCTTTTTCTAACATTGTTGAGAGAAGGATGGGAGAAGAGACAGACATTATAAATCTCAGACATTATAAAATTTCAACTGTAGTTATTTTGGTGTAGTCATGTGTTGCTTAATGACAGGATGCATTCTGAAAAATGTCATTAGGCAATTTAATTGTTGTGCAAACATCATGGAGTGTAGCTACAGAAACCTAGGTGGTTTAGGCCAATAACTTAACATGGCCTCTTTTTTTAATTTAAAAAATGTTTTTCCACATTTTTATTGGTGCATTATAGTTGTACATAATGATGGGATTTGTTGTTACATATTACATATGTACACAGAATATAGCAATGTAATTTGGCCAATATCATTCCCTGCCTTTTGACATGGCCTTCTTTTTTTTAAAATAATTTTTTAGTTGTAGATAGACACAATACCTTTATTTATTTATCCTTATGTGGTGCTCAGGATCCAACTCAGTGCCTCACATGTGTGAGGCAAGCGCTGTACCAGTAAGCTACAATCACAGCCCTTGACATGACCTCTTGATTCAGTTAAGAGACACAGTAGATTCCTTGGAAAACTTGGAATGAAACCAAAATTTGACCCAGTTATCCCACTCCTTAGTTTATACCCAAAGGACTTAAAAACAGCATACTATAGTAATGATGTCACATTAATGTTTATAGCAGCACAATTCATAATAGCTAAATTGTGGAACCAACCTAGATGCCCTTAGTAGATGAATGGATAAATAAACTGTTCTATATATACACAATGAAATATTACTCAGCATTATAAGAGAATAAAATCATGGCATTTGCAGGTAAATTGATGGAGTTGGGGAATATTATGCTAAGTGAAGTAAGCCAATCCCAAAAAACCAAATGCTGAATGTTTTCTCTGATATAAGGATGCTGATCCATAATGGGAATGGGTGGAGCATGAGAGGAATGGAGGAACTTTAGATAGGACAAAAGGGAAGGAGAGGAAGGGAGGAAGCAGGGGGTAGGAAAGACAGTGGCATAAGATGGACATCATTGCCCCAAGTACATGTATGAAGACACAAATGGTGTGATTCTACTTTGTGTACAACCAGAGACACGAAAATGTGCTCTGTATGTGTACTATGAATTGAAATGCATTCTGTTGTCATGTATAATAAATTAGAATAAATAAATAAACTCAAGATATATGAGGCTGCTGCCAGCATAGCATAGAATATTGTTTTATACTGAACTTAAATAACAAAAATATAGTAAATATGTAAATTAATAACATAGTCATTTATACTCATTATCAAGTATTATGTGCTGTACATATTGTATGTGCTCTACTTTTATATAACTGTCAGTGCAGGAGGTTTGTTTATACCACATACATGTGAGTAATGCCTTGTACTACAATGTTGTGGTCAGTTCTTGACTGAAGCATTGTCATGTGAACGTGACTATATGTAGCTCTAACACATATTCTTTGTTTTTATAATATAAAACAGTGTCATTGGGCTGGGGATGTGGCTCAAGCGGTAGCGCGCTCGCCTGGCATGCATGCAGCCCGGGTTCAATCCTTAGCACCACATATAAACAAAGATGTTGTGTCCGCCGAAAGCTAAAAAAAAAAAAAATTTAAAAAAAAATTCTCTCTCTCTTAAAAAAAACAGTGTCATTATGTTCAGTATAATGAAAATAACTCCTTAATATCATATAAGGCTCAATCTATATTAAGTCTCCCTCACAAGTACAATTTGTGCAGTTATTTTATTCAAATTAAAATCAAAAAAGATCTACACATTGTATTTGGTTGATATATATTTTAAATCTTTAATCTATAACCCTTCTTCCCATTCTTCCTTTTTTATCTCACCATTTATTTTTGGAAGAAGAGTTATCTGATTTTATTAAACTAAATAATTTTTACAAATAGCATGTTCAGGCCCAGAGATAAAAGATTTTCTTGGTTCCTATAAAAGGTCACAGGTGACAGAAAAAGCAAACCCCCTAGTCATTCGTAAGACTTTCTGCCCATAGGTATTAAAATATTTTACCCTAGCTAAGCCACCCAGAGTTTTAAAACCAGGTGCCAGGGCAGGAGGGAGGGGGTAGGGCAGTGCCTATCCACTCTTGCTTCAGAGCACTGGAGGATGCCTGCTCCTGGCAGGGTCTGAGGCCGGATCCAAGGTAGAGGGTGGCCGAGGCTGTAGTGTGGTAGGACATTGACCAGTGTAGAACACCTACCCCAGTCCTTTACTGACCCACACCTCTGTCCCCTACACCTCCTCCCGCCCTCTCTTGGCTCCCCACCATTCTCCCCTGGCACAGTGCCTTACACAGAGGTGGTCATGAGGGGTTTGAACTGAGTCCCACTACCTCGGGGGACACCTCTCCTCCCCCACTTGTTTAGGCTTCTACACTAGGAGGCCTCCATTACCTCTTCCCACTCCATTCCTGCAGAGGGCTCCATTCACCCCCAATCTCCCTTTCACCTCTTTTCCTGTTGTATATATCACCTTTGTTGACAATAAATTATTTTTTTTTAATTAAGAGAAAAAAATTTACCCTAAACAAGAAGGAAGCTTGATTGTACTAGTTAATTTCAAGTTAATTTTAAGAAATACTTATTGAAGATTTGCTGTGTGAAAAACATATGCATTTGGAACTCAAACCATTCACTTCCTAGTGATTTTTTTTTTCTTTCAGAATGATGACTATAAGAAGAATGATTTGCTTCCCTCACTGGTTCTTAGTAAGTATAGAAAATGCTGGCAGAAGTTGGAGTTGCTTGCTATTCACTGAAGATATTTGAAAAATTATTTTTAAAATAATTTTCTAGTCGTCAATGGACCTTTATTTATTTATTTATATGTGGTGCTGAGAATTGAACCCAGTGCCTCACACATGCTAGGCAAGTGCTCTGCCACAGAGCCACAACTCCAACCCTATTTCAATTATTATAAGACTGTGGGGGCTGGGGATGTGGCTCAGGTAGCTCGCTTGCCTAGCATGCGTGAGGCACTGGGTTCGATTCTCAGCACCACATAAAAACAAAATAAAGATATTGTGTCCACCTAAAAAGCTAAAAAAAATAAATATTTTTTTAAAAAAGACTCTGTCTACACTGGTGAGAGAAGTATATTAGTGATTTACCAGGGGTACAGTTGTTCCTTTATAGTAGCTAACAGTTTTCATCATGGATGTGGATAGTGTTTTGAAATCCATGATACAATTCAGGAGATACAGACCTTCCAATGTTCCGACTTAAAAATTAGTAGCTAAACCAGGCATGTTGCTGCATGCCTATAATCCCAGCAGCTTGGGAAGCTGAGATTATAGTGCCAGCCTTAGCAATGATGAGGCACTAAGCAACTCAGTGAGACCCTGTCTCTAAATAAAATACAAATTGGGACTGGAAATGTGGCTCAGTCATCAAGTGACCTTGGGTTCAATTCCTGGTGCCCACCCCCCAAAAAAATTAGTAGCTAAAAATTAGTAGGAAAATAAAACTACTCCCATTAGAGGCCTCACTTCTGGGAACTTGGTCTAATGCAAGTATACAGAGTTCCTGTGGCAAGGCCTCTAATGTGAATAACTTTGTTTGCATTAGACCAGGGGTTCTTGGCATAGAGTCCACTAAGTGATAGGCACAATTTTGGATATGTAAGGGAAAGGATTCATTGCTTTCATCAGATTTCGGGAGTCTTTAACACAAAGAACCAATATTATAAGAGATCGTCCTGTCACATATTTTGAAAATTGTGCCTTTGTTAAAAGCTCCAGTGAACCTTAAAGAAGATTGCCAGCAAATGATAAACAATACCACCTGTTGCATGAAGGGAGAATTGTTAAGTTTTCCAGTCACAGCATATGCTGCATTCTCAAAAGCCATTGTAGGAGAGGGAGTGATCCCCTCTCCCAACCCTAGGTTCTTAGATGGGTTTTTGGGCTGGGTCTAGAAACTGAATTAGCATAAGATCTGATTAATAAGATAAAAGCAACAAGAATTATTTGTTTATAATTTTTAATTGTATATTGACACAAAGCCTTTATTTATTTTTAAGTGGTGCTGAGGATCAAACCCAGTGCCTCACGCATGCTAGGCAAGAGCTCTTCCACTGAGCTACAACTTCAGCCCCAAGATTTATTACTTTTGCACATTAGAGAGTAAAGTTCAATGACGTGGCCAAGGCATAATGCTTATATACTTTTTTAGACAAAGAAAATAAATTTGCAGGAATGACAGGACAAATGGATCTTTGGATGAGAGTAGTAAATTCTAGGGATATTACTAAGAGGTATATGGGGTGGGAAATAAAAGCTAGTGGAAGGTAAGAGTTACTTAGAGGCATTTATTTAGGTTCACTAAGCCCCAGTTACCAGAGTCTAGTGGCTTGGAGTGGGAAGGACATCCAAGAAAATCTTTATGACTTGCTGCGTGTAGTAAAAAATGGACCAAATAGTCCTCTTTGAAGCTACATGTGATTTCAACTTGAAATAATCAATAGACCAATTCAGCATATTTTGAAAGAGTATATTCTTAATTTCTTCACAATGCAATAGTAGCCTCTTTCTTTGAGGCTGGGATTTTCTTCTGGAGGACTGCCTTGTTATGACTTTTAATTACATATATTGAAATACATAGGTCCAGGACTCAGCCCCCAAACTTCTTCAAAGCCAGAATCAAGAACCAAGATTGGTTTCCATAACTTTATGCTGTCTAATTTGCCTGATGTAAAACCTCAAGCAAGCCTGTCCATCGACCCTTATGATTCCGAAGAGGTTGACTTGGAAGACCTTAACCAGAGACTTGAAATGCTGAAGAAAATGAATTAATTTCTTGGTCCTTGAATTGAGCATTTGCCTGGGAATCAGGACTGGGTGTGAATTTTAGCATAGCTATCTTTGTGTGGGTCTGAAGCTTTCTTGTTCACAATTCCTTCCATTTATTAAATTCTATATTTCTCTGCCTACTGTAATAATGTGTAAATGTGTGTCTGTGTACACACATGTAATTATTTCTGTCCCCTCAAATTTGAAATACTTAGATGAAGATTCTTGACCTACAGAATATTATTAATTGAGGTCAATAAATTTTCCTCTGGATCTTTAATTATCCCATAATTATCTCTTTTTTTTCAGGTAGGCAGAATGGTGTGAATTTTAAATCCCATCTCATACTACCTATATGACTTTTAGCAAATGGTGCCTCCTGTCAAATGTGTATGAAAGAACTCAAAAGCTAGAGGAAAAGATCTTTTAATAAATGAGTTTTGGGGGGCTGGGAAGATAGCTAAGTGGCAGAGTGTTTGCTTATCATGTGTGAGGATCTGGATTTGATCCCAGTACAAAAAAAAAAAAAAAAAAAAAAAAAAAAAACCCAAACCCTGAACAAATCCAAAGAGTCAACAAAACAAATAAGTATTTGGAAGAATGAATGTACATATATAATAAAATAAGTGTTTCTAGAAAATCAGTGGAATCCTGTATGTCTGGACTCAAATGTAGACTCTGTCACTTACTAGCTGCTTCTTTTTCTCATCTGTAAAATGGGGACAATAATAAAGGTTAAAGAAATAATGCATATGAAAGTCTTAGTAGGTGATCAATAAATTTTAGGTTCCTTTCCAGTTTCTATTATTTGTTGTGGTCTAATAGACTAAATCTTGGTGATTTTATGAGACTAGATAAAGAAGAATCAGAAAACAAGTCCAACTTAACTTTTCTTTTTGGTTGCAAAAATAAAACAAAATTAAAATCCTCTGCAGTCCCATCATCCAAAGATAACCATTTTTATATTTTAATTTTGGTTTTCAAATTTTTCTGTATGTATACACAATTTTTACAAGCTTATTTTAGTAACATTGTTTAGAAAAATCTGCTATACCATGATTATAAAGTTAGAGCTATAATTTTATTTTTATTGGTAGCCTAATGGTCCCCTTTATGAATGTGTGTAACTTATCTGAAATTTGAGATTATGTCTTAGAAGTTGGGGAGTAAGCCTTTCTAAATTTTAAGCACAAGCCACAGAAACCAAAGATTCCAAGTTAATGATAATTATGGTATAAATTGGGGCAATTCTTTTTAATTTTGGGTTGCATGGGTGAGGGATTTGGCAATTAAAAAGAAAATATTAAAAAAATACAGGGAGGAGGTTTATGTTGCAAGTTTCTCTTTGATTATCTGCCATTTGGTATGGTACATTTGGTATGGTATGGGGGGTGGGTATTGAGTATTAAACTATGGGAGCTTACCCACTGAGCCACATCCCCAGCCCTTTTTAAAAATCAATTTTTAAATTCGTTTTAATTAGTTATACATGACAGTAGAATGCATTTATGCACTTTGATATATCATACATAGATGGGATATAATTTCTCATTTTTCTGAGTGTACATGTTGCAGAATCACATTGGTCATGCAGTCACATATATACATAAAGTAATAATTTTTTGTCTGTTTTATTCTACTATCATTCCTATCCCCATACCCACTCCCCTCGCCTCCCTTCACTTCTCTCTACCTAATCTAAGGTAGCGCTATTCTTCTCTAGTGTACCCCGCATTGTTGTGAATTAGCATCCACATATTAAAGAAAATATTTAGCCGTTGGTTTTTGGGGGGGATTGGCTTATTTCGTTTAGCATGATATTCTCCAACTCCATCCATTTACTGGCAAATGCCATAATTTCACTGTTCTTTAAAGGTGAATAATATTCCATTTGCCCAGTGCATTTTATTTTCATTTTGAAACAGGGTCTGCTTAGAGCCTTACTAAATGGCTGAGGCTGACTTTGAATTTGCAATCCTCCTACTTCAGCTTCCTGAGTGGCTGGGATTACAGGTGTGCGCTACTGAGCCTAGCAAAGCTCTTCTTAAGAAGAAAGGTTTTCTTTTCTTTTTGGTTTGTAATGGTAAACACTTTATTTTGGCCTCTAAACAATTTTTGTGATATTCCAAATGGAATACTTACTAACTCTGCTTTGCAACCTCTATTCTTTTATGGAAATCTCAAACTGAATTTGGCATGTGTTCCATGCATAGGTACAGCTCAAGGGAACCCACATTTTGCCATCCTTATGATATTTTAGTGTTATTCTATTTACTAACCATGTGATCTAGAGCTACACTGTACTGATGTGTAGCAGAGGGATAAGAGGGTCTGAATCTATAAGTATCATTCTTTTCAATCCATTTGCCCTAGGTTGATTTCACCCTTGTGTTTGTGTTTGGGGTTTTGGTGGGTACAATTTTCTAAAATGTAAGATGGCTATATATAGCAGAAATCTAGTGGGGGAAGGAAACTTTCAGCAAGTCACAGTTTCTCTGAGTCTCTATCTCCTTATTTATAAAACTAAATTATGGGTTGAGGCTGTAACTCAGTGGTAGAGCGCTTGCCTAGCAAGTGTGAGGCACTGGGTTCAATTCACAGCACCACATAAAAATAAATAAAAGGTATTGTATCCATCTACAATTTAAAAAGATATTTAAAAAAATAAATAAAACTGAATTATTGGGCTAGGGTTATGGCTCAGTGGTAGAGCACTTGCCTAGCATGTGTGAGGCACGGCACTGGGTTTGATTCCCAGCACCACACATAAATAAATGAACAAAATAAAAGTACGTCTAAAAAATATTTTTAAAAACACTGAATTATTTACAGTCTCAGGAGGTTGTCCAGAGGGTAAAATTAGATTATACATATGAAGGTGCTTTATGAACAATGTGTTATCAACATTTAATAATAAAAACTGATAAATCCTTTTATGCCCTTGGCTTCCTTTCTTTCCAGTCTTTTGGCATGCCGTGGAAGTTCAAGGACAAAACTATACAGCTGAGCACACCCAGTTCAATTTTTGTAAAGTGTTTTGAAATCCCTGCATGAAAGCAATTGCCTAAGGAAGAAAGTGCAACTTCCTGTATATGACACTCAGGTCTTAAATTTGGGATTTGCAGTTAATATGGTTCTTTTTGGTATCCAGTCTGGTGCTTTGTTTCATTTACTTTTGGGAGTACTTCTTTGGCAATCTAAAGGATTTTAGTCTAGATCGGTCACCTTTAAATGTACCAAGATCTCGTGAAAAAGACTCTGTCACATGTTAGTAATTATTTTTCAAGCCAGGAACGGTCTAGTCAAATTTTCTTTGGCCCAGGTCATTAATTCATGGAGTCATAGAAGGCCCATTCTGAAAGAGTTTTTAGCTATTATTAGTCCAAATCTTCTCTTTTTACATACTAGAAAATTCAGGGCTTGGAGAGTTTAAGCGATCCGTCCAAAGCAAGAGGGGCAGGACTAGGCTTGGCCTCTATTCTGCTTTGTCATCTAATTTTTTTTTTTCATAAAGTTCATTGCAAAGATACCATAAAACCATAGAATCCAAGACGACTTTGAAGCATGTTTTTGAAGTTAAAGAGAAAGCTGAGGTCTTAAAGGTGAAAGGAACGAGTTTGGGATTCTCTTCCTCAGCCTGGCTAAGCGTTCGGTCCCCACCTGCTTCTCTCCCACAACCTCAGCTTCTCTGCCTAGCTCCGCCCCTTTCAGGTGGCACACCACTTCCTGGTTAGCCCGCCCGCCAGTCCGCCCGCCCTCCCGCTCCAAGCGGAACCAAAGTGCGTAGTCTCCGGGGTAGTCCGGATTTTTCTTGCTCAGACTCATCTCAGCGGTGACTCGGCAGCCGCGTCTAGCGTCATCAGTGACAGCCCCGACCCTTGCTACGCTTTGCGTCGCTCTGCCAGGAGCAGTCGCCTCCTCGTTGGCAAATAGTCCTCGGCGGGGTCCGAGTTCTTGGGTAATCCGAGGTGGGAGGCCCGAGGAGTTGCAGTCAGAGGGCGCAGGATTGACAAGGAGGGAGAGATAGGGACCGAAGTTATTGAGGTAGTGTGGGAAGTTAGTTAAAAACCCCCTTCCTCCTAAGAATCCCTCCGCCTGCAGTAGCGGTGGTGAGGCCGAGGGAGCCGCCATTTTGGATGTTCGGTTCCTGCTGCCACTGCTGCCGCCGCCCCCGAAGCTGCTGGTTTCATTCGAGGTTTCGGGCCGGTGAGTGTCACTCGCGGCGCTAAGAGCGTATTGTTTCTTTTACCCTGCCGCTGCCGCGGGCGTATGGCCGGAAGCTTCCTGTCAGTCCCAGGGGTCCGGTCCCAGCCTGTGGGGGGTGAGAAGAGAGGACAGAGGTTGGGCCAGGAGGGGCCGGGAGCTCCAGGGGTTGCTCCGACTTCCTCAGGGCCGACCCCGAGGCCTCAGACCCGGAGGTTCCGCGCGCAGCAGCGTTCCTTGCTGTGGCGTTGCCGGGCCAGGGCAGGCCTCCTTGAACTCATTGACTTTCTCAGGCTGCGATCCTCCTCTGATAGCTTATTCAGGGAGCCCAGGAATTAGCGGGGCGGGCCCCACCCCCGCGTGTCCTCTCGCAGCCACGTATCAGCGTTCTTGTAGCTGGTGCTCAGGTCAGGTCTCGGAACTCTCGGCATTGCCACATGCTGAGTTAATCGCGGTCTGTCGGTGCTACGCCGTCCTCTCGGAGCCGGACCTCGGCTTCGCCTCCCTCTATCCTTTCCACTAACTTCTTCCCCAGTTTACCGCCTTAAAAAACAAAAACAAAACAAAACAAAAAAACCAACTCCCCTGCGACTACGCTGTTCACCCTTCTCTCAAACTCCTCGTCCTGCGGACGTCAGTTTCTACTGACTCTCCCGATCTTCCTGATTGCCTGAGAGGTTGGTTACGCTTCCCTGTGAGGTCTCGGGGAGGCGAGCCGTGGACCCGCTCGCTCCAGTGTACTTGGGCAGTAATGGTTTATAAAGCAGATTACATGGCTTTGGGGGGAAAGGAGCTGTCAAATGTTTTCTCTTCTGTGTATTTTCTTTCTGTACCGACCACTAAGCTTTTTCGTAAAACTAATTGACAGTTTTATATGTTCGGCGTGTATCCCTGAGTATGGAAGTTGTGAAGAATATTAATCTCACGTAAATAGTAACTTTTTTGGGTTACTGTAGGAATTAGTTAATAGACGAGAGGACTGAGTAATTTCTTAGTTGTCTTAATTTTCAGATGTTTGTACAGTAATGGTCTTGGCTGACCGATTCTAAAAAATACACGTATTGACGTCATGTATTGGTTTTTCGTGGGGTGGTTACATTTCAAGTAATTCATTTCCACTATTCTCCATAGTACTTGTCAGATTATATGCACCTTAACTTTTGGTTTGGAAAATATAACTCCTCAAGGTACCCATAATCCCATCACTTTTATTGTGTTCTTAAAGTATGTTTGCAGTCTAGCATGGTTGAATAAAAAGCATTTCACAATAATCGACTGATT